CTCTCTACCAAGAATATCCATCTACGAATACCCTCTATGAAATTTGCTCCTGTTTCATTGGTCCCTTTACCATCCTCCACCAGGTCAATCCTGTTGCTTTCAAACTTCACCTCCCTTCACATTTAAAAATCCCTAATGTTTTCCATGTTTCTCTTCTGAGACCACACATCATCAACAGTTTTTCCCATCCTCATCGTCATCCTTCCCCAATAGTGAATACTTCGGATCAGTATGAAGTCAAGAACATCTTGGATTCCAAATTCATCAGAGGGAAGCTTTTGTATCTAATTGACTGGAAGGGATATGATCCTGAGGAGACATGTTGGATTCCTTCTACTGATGTTTCTGCACCCCGTCTGGTGGAATTTGTTCATCACAAGTTTCCTCTTAAGCCTGGCCCTAAACAAGTGGGGAGACCTCGTAAGAGGGGGGTTACTGTCACAGGCTAGCCTGCAGTTTCTTGTTAGTGTATTCTTACCTCCTTGTTGCAGTGCTTTTCCTGGTTCATTTCACATGTTTGGTTTGTCTGTGCTCACCTATGGGTGTTGTCTGCTATTCTCTGGGTTTTTATTTCCTTACCTTCCATCACTTCCTGGCCTTCCTCCTAGTTGGCTTAGATTCCACGCCCTGGGGAACCCCGAGTTGGCAGTCTACAAAGACTTACTACCACAGGTTCGTGACAGACAGGAGTAACTAAGAAACTGTTTAGTGAGACTGCTTTATTAAATACATTTTTGAGAGCGGTATTCCCTGCCAAAAGAGTTGCATTTCATTCATCCAGTCCTGGGATTTACACAGTGCTACGACACAGAATACCCTGGTTTAGCAGGGTAGGACACTTGATGTTTTTCTCTGTTGGTGTTTCACTTTTACTTATAGGTCCTTTCCCCACCCTCCCTCTGTGACTGGACAGTAAAATGAGAAGAAACATTCTCAAGCTCATATCTTTGGCCTATACTTATTTTTTAATGATGTATTGCACAAAATTTGTTTTTCATATCTGCCCTAGAGCTCAACTTTAACCTATTACACATGGCCCTTTTGGCACTTTATTGAGCCAAATAAGGTGTGGCTTAAATATAATTATGCCACTGGCTTCAGAAATCTTTGATTCTCATCAAATAATTATGGTGTTCTAGGGCTGCTTTACATTCCCAGGCTGGCACTGGTGTAAGTGGTCATGAATTATACAAAAATAGTTATACTGAAAGATTTTGTCTAAGACACAAAGGTTTCTTGTATCACCTATTTTGTAATTATGTCATCACAGGAGCAAAGTGCAAGTGATGAGAACAACGTTATGAATGTGCATCAAGACCAGTGGTAACAAAAAAGAAAATACCAGCTAACGTTATCTGGTTGTGGGCAACAGTTCTTTTTCTGGTTGTGGATAACAACAACTTTTTCTTTCGACATAACAGTCCCAATGTGTTAAATGTAGTGAGGCCAGTATTTTAAACTGGTTTTGTGCTTTTAGAATAAAAATGAAAATCCCCTCCAGTCAAAGGCCCCTGCAAAGAGAACTAGACAGGAGTGAGGGATGCTTGTTTATTTAAGGCAATGAGAAAGAAAACTGAACAGCTGATTCAGAAACCTACTTATAACAAGTGGGAAGGAAGCTGACCAGCACCCCTTATGTAAATCTTTGGTTAGTTTGTACAGAAGAAAAAAAACTATCTTAGCTCTACAGGAAACCACTAAGTGCCAAACATTTTAAACTGCTATAGAAGACCTTGATCAACATAATGGTACGTTTCTGAGAAGGGGTTGTGAGTTGGTGAGTGTGCCCATGTGTTATTGTGCATTAAGGTGCACTGAGTTAAGGTAGAACCATTGCAGCAATGAAGTGCTGACTGCTACTGTAGTAACATTTTACTGTGCTATTCAAATTAAATGACATCACAATACAATGTACTGCCAATTGTGCAATAATATACAATATTTGATCCACTTCAATATTTATTCTGTCGACCAGCAAGTAGCGAAACAATGCCATATAGATTAGACTTGTTTATTAATTTTTGTACGGTACAGGACATAGGAATTTTAGTCTTAATCATGGGTCAAATGAGCTGCAGGTCATTGGACACTGGTAAAAAAAACTGCAAGGACAGTCACAATGTAACCCCTTCCCTTCCATCAAGTTTTTAGTTAGTGTCCTTATGTGATGATATCTTCTCTTTACCAAGAGAAGCTTACCTCTCTCTTTTGATTTGCTATTCTCAGGATTTTGTTAGCATGGTATATCTACTTGATAGCCATTATGCTCATTTTCTGCAGACTTCTGGATTGGTTGACTCCTCCACTGAGGCTTGGGTGACTGTACCTGGTCTCCAGCTTGTAGAAGATGCAGGACCAGCTTGCAACATTGCTGGACCCTGTGTGGGTACATATCATGGCATGCAGTGTATCACATTGAGTCACAGGCTTCAATACAGGTCCAGGGCCATGGTCCATCAGATGGTGGAGCCTTGTCCTTGAAGGCTGCTTTGAGGGTGTGGACACCAGGAAGGCGAAGCCAGGATAGGGCTTGTCCCTAACATCCTGATCCATGCTGAGGGCCTGTGGTAAGTCAGGGCCTAGTGCCCTTCTTCAATGCCCAGAGTGTTAATGCTCTATTTCTCCTATGGGGGTGAAGGCTGCAGCACATTTAAATTGATTGTTGCACAGCTATGAAAAAGAGGCACACTGTGACTGGCGAGGCCTCTCTGCTCTCCTGTCTCATCAGTACAGAAAATCAATTGTTGGGTGTCCAGCTCCGGCTGCCTATAGTGAACGGCAAAATTATCCATTCCCTCTCCACATGAGGTGGGCATGAGTACCCCTTGGGGGGGGGGGGGGGGGGGGGGGGTCATTTCTAACTGCACATTGCAGATCATAAAAATGATGGGTCAGAAGCACAAGAATGATGGGTCAGGGGGCCTTGTCAGCTCATGGTCAGCTAACAGCTCTGGGGGTATTATATCTCTCCCTAGTTCTTTCAGTCATGACAAATACCCCATCTGATCCTCTTCCTTTCTCTGAGGACATCATTCCCCTCTCTGGCACACATGCCTCCTCCTGTCTATCTAGAGAGGAGTTCACCCCCCCCCCCCATGTCTGACTCGATGGAAGGCTTCTGGCCCTATTGGAGGCCATAGATCACAGGAGTTTCAATCAGACCCTCTCAGCTTTTCCTACACAGTCTGCCTCTGAATTTTCCTTTGCAGATGCTCTGCTCCCTGAGAAGGAAGTAGAGGCTAGTGGGTCCTCTGCTTTTGATGACTCAGATCAAGAAGAGACACTGGGATCTCTACCAACTTAAAGGATACCATTGCAACACTAACTGAGGCAGTGTGCTCATGCCTTGCCTTAGGGCAACCTGAGTTGGCCTGTCCTGAAGTCTGCATCCTGTGTTTCCTAAGACCATAGATCACAGGAGTTGCAATCAGACCCTCTCAGCTTTTCCTACACAGTCTGCCTCTGAATTTTCCTTTGCAGATGCTCTGCTCCCTGAGAAGGAAGTAGAGGCTAGTGGGTCCTCTGCTTTTGATGACTCAGATCAAGAAGAGACACTGGGATCTCTACCAAACTTAAAGGATACCATTGCAACACTAACTGAGGCAGTGTGCTCATGCCTTGCCTTAGGGCAACCTGAGTTGGCCTGTCCTGAAGTCTGCATCCTGTGTTTCCTAAGAATACTTAAACCTGCAGGACTTTCCGAGTTCACTCACTCTTAGAGCTCATTTTGTACAACGATTGAACTCACCCACCTACATTTTGTACCAGCAATACCCTATTGAGAATGGATTCTGTAAGAAATGGGCAGTATCTGTAGTGGACCCAGCCATTTCTTGAAAAAAAACCTTCACAGTCCCTGTTGAGGATGTTCCTGTTTTCAAGGACTTGGTAGACAAGAGGTTAAAATGGTTGTGAAGGTAGAATCTTTTTTTTTTACCTTACTGCATTCTATGCAGCAAGGTAAAAAACCTTTTGCATGCAACTTCCCCCACAACCCCCCTAATTACATACCTGAGCCCTATCTAGATTCAGTATTGTGCACAAGAACCAAGGCTGTCTCAGCACTCTTGCTCCTCATTGGCCCAGATACACCAGCAGGAGCCATTAACTCCTGCTGCTGGCAATCAGAGCCAGTGATAAGGAGCAGGGGAGGGGCTGAGCCCCGTTCAGTGTGTCTTATGGACATAAGGAGCAGGGCTTGGGAGCAACCACACATAAGTGCCCCCAGAGAAAGTGGCTTGCCCTGGGGGCACTTGGCAGGGGGGAGAAGCCCAGAGCACCGGTGAACGACCCCAAAAGAGGAGAATCGGGGGCTGCTCTATACAAAACCATTGCGCACAGCAGGGAGCTATGACATGTTTGATATTTTTAAAAAATAAAATGTGATCCTTTAATATCACTTTGCCCTTTTTTAAGTCCTTGTTTTCTCTGTCTGTTTTTGCCCTACCATGTGACCTAGAGTTGCTTCTATGGCAGTCTGCTAGACATTTGCTGTCTGGACTAAATGCATTGTTCAAGACCAAGGCAGTTCCATCTGTCCACCAGCACCTGGAGTTCTGATCTACAGAACTCCTTTTGAAGGGAACAGCTTTTTTGGTATTCCCTTCCCTAGAGAAAGAAGGCAAGGACATCTGCAGGTATGTCTTCTGCTCCTAAAGCCAAATTGGATTCCATTCATCCTTCTTCTCTGGCTTCTGACTCCAAGCCAAATGAGGTGCTTCCTTTCATAGACTTGGGCCACAAAATCCATGAAATTCAGGATGATCTCCTATCCGGACTATCTTCCGCTAAAGGATCAGCCCATGTTCTGTCAGACAATGTCCAGAGGACAGTGCAGACTTGGCAGAGATTCAGATGTTACCTCATTTTTCATAAATCCACCCCGATACACTCTCACCCAAGATGTATGAATATTATGGTATTTATTTTTGATATACCAGATATACATCATTTAAATCAACGGAACTGCTGTTGAGTGATGAAGTATTATCAGGACTTACCTATGCAGTTATCACCTTGGACCTCATATCCCACCGGACATATACATCTGAATGAGCCTTCTAAATTCTGACAAGTACCAGGAGCACAAGAGCCAGGATAAGCAATGCATTCATTGATATCTTAAAAAAATACAAGACAAAAAATAAAAAATAGATAAGCCATTGACTAAAGCTTGTGCTACAGATCTTATAATTCTTTTTGTGAGATAAATTAGAATGCTAATGTCTAGTATTATAGTACACCAAATAATAGAGAAGAAGGAGAGCTACTTTTGCTGGCCTCCTTTTTAAAATCCTTGTTGTCTGACTGGGGGTTATTTACTAAAACTGGAGCATGCAAAATCTGGTGCAACTCTGCGTAGAAACCACTCAGCTTCCAGGTTTTATTGTCAAAGCTTAATTGAACAAGCTGAAGTCAGAATCTGATTGGCTACCATGCACAGTTGCACCAGATTCTGAGTGCACCGGTTTTAGTAAATCTCCCCCACTGTGTCTATTTTCAATATTCTTGAGTCACCCAGAACAAGCAAATTGTAGAACAGTGTCAGATAAGTCTCAAAATTCATTATTTCTAAAATTGACTCTGATCTGTGACTAAAGAAGCATTGTAGTAAAATTATCATTATGACAGAAGGAGAACCAATGCTTTCAAATGTAGAGGTCAGCGTTGGCAGCTCCCATAATTCCTTAAAGACAGATGTATTTTAATAAATTTATGGAAAAGCACACACTTTGCACTTCCTTGGGATTGTTTTATCATTTTGAATAGGAAATAAGGTAAGTAGATTAATCAAAATGCAAGAAAATGATAATGTGTACATCAATAAATAAATAACAAAATACATTTATACATACTTGTACAAAGTTCAGGGGTGCCTTGCCAAAATGCCTAAAAATTGTATACAAGCAACCAGGAGGATGCAGCCAGTCTTTTAGTTACTCAAAGTCAGAGTTTTTCATTGTGCACTATTACAACCTTCTAATCATTAGTTGATAAGGAGGACATTGGGTGCCTTCACAGCATCCTTGTTTGCCCCTCCTCTGTCCCTCTCCATCAGCACTGGGTTCACATTAGCAGTGTGAGGGAGAGAAACAGAGGGAGAAGAGAAACATTGAAATACTAGTCAGTACAAGCGTGCAAGTGTGTGTTTGCTTTGAAAGAATAAATCCCCTTTAATGCTGGGTGTCCTTCATGTGTGGATGTTGCTTCATTATGTAAAACTATTAGTTTAGGTTTTTTTCTACATTTTAGAATGGGGTGCCATGAGATTGTGCGGAACTTTAAAGGGTGCCTTGACTGTAAAAAGATTGAGAAACACTGGTATAAATATAATTAATTTATAATTTATTTACACCATAGTGTCTCATTTATGTGGTTGGCTCTTGTGGTTGGCACCATTTCCTCCTACCCCCCAGACATTTATTAGTTGTATGTCTATGGAAAGTGGTAGCTGAATCTGCTCTCCAGTGTGTCCGATAAGATTAGTCAAGTGCCATTTCCACTTGGTATCTGGGTTTTCCGCTTGTGACCATTGGTACTTTTCTTGCAAATTTCTTTTGCTTTCTTGGTTTTAAATCCAGCTAATCTTTTGGTTCCTGTTGTCTGAGTTTGCTGCCTATCTCGTGGGACCTGAATGTAACTTATCCTGATCTGTTCCTCTCATTCAATTCTGCCTGAAATGCACCTACCCCATTCTCTGTCAGTGTTTGGACTTTTTTTTTCAGATTATGAAAGAATCCACACCTCCTTGTTAATGTTTTTTGCAAACACTCTTTAGACTTTCTGTTTGCATATTCATAAAAAAGAGGCACTACCATACCTTCCATACCCACTGTATTTCCCCCAGGCTCATGCAAACCAAGTGCAAGCTCCAAAGAAGCCTGTTTTCATCCCACCATCACTTTTCAAACACACTGTGTGTTTGTGCTGACTGATTAAACGTCATTACATGTGGCATCATCAGTGTGTGAGTCAGTATTTAGAAGGTGACTCCATAGACTTAGCCTATGCCTACCATTTTGAACCATGCTAATCTGTGACATATTTCTACAGTTGTTTATGAATTTGACTAACCTGTTTGTCAGTCACATATAGCAGCAGGTTAAAGAAGACATTGTCTAAGCAGTTAACTGAAGCCTTTTTCTACATTATTCTGTTCTGTGCACTAAAGGGAGGAGTGCAGTGAGCATAAAAAGAAGGTGGGGATGGAACCACTGGACATACTAGTCTGCATTGTCACAGGTGCATATTTAGATTTAGAAGATACTACCAATGGTAGGGATTTAGTTGGTATGACCAAGCTGAATGCCAGTGTGCAAATTGCAGCCACTCAGCAGCTCAACTGTTTGCTCAGAGTCATTTTAAATGCTAATTTTGTTATTTCATATTTGAAGTTAATTAAAACATCTCTCTAGTTCATTCTTTATGATTTTCTAAACTTGGCAAAAAAAAATTCACACGTGTTGCTACTGATGTGATTGAAGATGGGAGACCCACCCTCTCAGCACTCAGGAAGTAGGAAGAGGCAGCAGAAGGTAGAAAGTGGTGGGAAATATGGTATAAGCTTCATTTCAAACTGCAGCAGGTAGGACTATCTAATGATATTGGCCAAAACCCATGTAATGTATCTAACAGACTAGAGGAAGATAATAGTTACAACAAATATGGGGTTAAAATTTAAGTGTGGATAAAAATATGTGACATTGATATTAAAGACCAAAATCTGAAAAATCTTACCAATGCAATTCTTTCCATCTAGAGTAAGTTCAAAACCTTCATTACATAAACAGATGAAAGAACCAATGTCATTAAAGCAACGGCCATTTCTGCACACTTGGCCAGTAAAGGAGCTGCACTCATCGATGTCTAAAGAAAAAAAATGACGTGTTTAAAAGTGCTTACTATGTTGGCGTGTCTGTTTATCACATTCAGGAATGATACAGATTTAGCTAGAGACAAACCTTGCAGGTATATGCACAAAGACAAAGATGTACACAAAGATGCACAAAGATGTAGGTTGACAAACAAATTACATGAAAAGTTTATACCCCCTACTCTGATACTAATGAAGAAATATACAGTATAAGTACAGTATATTCTAAAATCTATATACAGTATATGGAAGTGAAAGGTTGGTTGCAGTAAAACTTTTATCTCATCTCTGATCTAGTAATAACAATAGCTTGCCTGGAAATATTTAACTAAGCCCACATATTGTTGGATATTTAAAATTAACTTAAGGTATGGAAATGTGAGCATCAAATAGTAGTATAATACAGATAATAGTGAGCACGTAAATTATCTTGTACTTGGTTTTCAACAATCTAACTTTTTTGATTTAAAAAGAGCCTGTACTGAAGAAACATAGAATGTGGAATTTGCCAATCCAGCTAACCAATGAATATATACAGTAAAAAAACATTTTCATATCTTGTTGAATGTTGCTTCTAGCTGGGAGCAATCTACTGTTATACAGGGTGCCGCAGTATTCCTTTTAAATTAACATTTAAGAATAAGAAATACCTTGCTATTTCCAAGGTAGGACAGCATACCATTTAATAATAAATATTGGTGCTTTATTTATGTTTCACACAGCATGCAGTCCTAACAATGTATCCACAAGTACTTATGAACATCTCCAAAGACATTAATATCATAAAAAAACTTACCCATACAGTCATTATTATGAGTGAGCTCGAATCCAGGATAGCAGAGACAGTTATATGATCCTACTGTGTTTTTACAAGTTCCGTTTCCACATGGCTGGCGTTCGCATTCATCAATATCTGCCAAGGAGATACACATGAAACATGAGAAAACATTCTTCCTGCTGTGGTTAAAGTAAATTTCATGACAGTTTGGCATTTTGCTCAAACACTGGTTGGCTAAAATGAAAATAGTTGTAGTCCAGCAATAACTAAAAATTCACAACTTGTCTTCTATTTCTTTTTGAGACAACACAGAGATTAAAGTACTGTATATAAAAAGGTCTGTACAGAGGTGGGAAACCAAACATATTCCACCAAGATGGTGGCAGTGCTGTTTTATTTGCCTTTAAGTATTATACATAAAGCAGTAAAATGCTTATACATATTTATGGGCTTGGCGGTTACAGAGGGGCATAATTACACCATTAGCCACTCCAGCATGTACTCTTTTATCAGTACTGAGCATAGGGAGGCCTCTAGTGACCTTCATTTATTATGGATTATTGGAAGACATCAAAATGTGCCACATGTTCTGCAAACATGTGTAAAGACTAGAATATTGTACGTAGAGGCAATAGGGTCTCAAAATTGGTTTGCTAGTATGGCTATTTTTAGGCCAGACTGGTCAACTTTTAAAAATTGTTGGTAGTCCTAAAGTATAAAAAATATTTGTTTTAATACTTTGTAAAAATAATTGCATATGGCAATCTTTTTCCTATCATTTTTCAATTTATAAAAGGTTTATTGATTAAATACTTTTCTATAAATGTAAATACTTATGTATTTGCTTTTCATTTGAGCATTTTCAAGTATGTAACAGCCTTGAGACACTTTCGACAGTGATTTGGGTTATTTTTGGCTAGGTTTAAAATCAGCGTTGGACAACTTATAGAAATAATTTCAGACAACCTGTTTCATTTGTTCTAGATGGCATGTGGACTGGATATGCCTGTTTAAATATTTACATATGCAGATGGTTTTTCTGGCTGTAAATTAAAGTTGAATCCCAGGTATATGCATTAGGCAATACTTGCGGAATCCCTGTGGAAGCAGAAAATCACTGTGGTATCAACCACTATTACACTGACCTTTGATGTCTTCTGCGTCCCATATAGAGTAGTTGTTCTGCTGCATAGTGAACACAGGGAGTCACTCAATAGGCATCAATTCCATTCACAGAACACTTTCCATTTTTCTCAATAAATCCAAAGTATTCTCTGACTTCACGAGGTGGAGAGGCAGAATGGTGACATCACAATCTCCACTTTGTCCAATCAGGGAATGCTTTGCATTGATTAAAAAAATACAGGGTGTTCTGTGAATGATCCTGGTGCTGAGTGAGTGACCCCTGTGTCTATTTTGCAGCAGGGCAGCAACTCGGTGTGGGAACTGGAAGGTAGGGACAATATTTGTTGTAGCAATGACTACTACAGTTAGTCTCTGCTTCCACAGGGATCCCACAGGTATGGGATATGTATACTTAATTGGCCCAAGGTGAACCAATGTACTTTGCAAAATAATCCATACCTGGAACTCAGCTTTAAACCTAAGACCTCTGTGCTGCAAGGCAAAAGTGTTAGCTACTGTCTTCCCCATGTTTATAGAGATGTTTAAATGTTATTTCTTCCTGGAGGATAAGAAAGGATTTCCCCTGCTGGAGTAAATTGGATCATACTTTATTTGGGGTTTTTTTCTTCCTCTGGATCAACTGTGGGTATAGGATTGTATATATGGAGGTTTTCTATTTTTTTCCCCTGTTGGTTGAGCTAGATGGACTTGTGTCTTTTTTGAAACCAACTACCTATGTAACTATGTAAATATGTAATTTAAAAATTAGCACATAGCATTGTGTACCAGGCTTTATGTGAGTTGTTGAACTACATACCCATGCACATAGTCCGATCCTGAGATGCCTTAAAGCCATTGTTACATATGCAGCGATAACTGCCCAGTGTGTCCTCACATGTGCCATGACTGCAGACATTGGGAATTTCCAGGCATTCATTGCGATCTGTGGAATGGAGAAGCATATAAAACACATGTTGTTGGAAAATGAAGAGGAAAGACTGGTTCAACCCTCAGGCTTCCATTAGCTAATGGAAACGCACTTTCTCTATGCATATAAATGCATTAAGTGTTGGCTTTATCCCTAATTCTTCTTACAAAGACCAGTTCTATGTTATGTGCAATACACTGTTATTTATTATGACAGTGTACTAATTTTCAAAGAGACCTTTCTATCCTTCAAGCAGGGAAAAAAGATAAACATATGTTATGTTTCTAATGTAAGTACAAGTTTTTGTAACTTTTGCCATTATTGTGGGTCAGACTTTTTCAGAATGTAATATCTATACACCCTAAAAGGCAACATCAAAATTGCCAGGAACATGGCAAGTGACACAACAAATCAGGATGAAAAATGTCACTCACATTTTACTGTAGGTTAGTGGTGACAGGGTAGTCTACATACAAAACCATTGGCATCATGCAGCCCTTGGTGAGGAAATGGAACCTTCTTCTGGAATAAATGGGCGCAACACCTGCTGCAGTTGTAGGCAAGTCCACAGATGGGTTATAAGATGCAAGTTTTGAGGGATAAAACCTATCAAGAGAGACTGCAGGAACTTAATATTTACAGTCCCAAGGAAAAGGGTCCCCCGCCTGTGCTGTCCGTCCCTCCCCTCTGCCAAGTAGCCCCATAGCAAACCGCTGGCTATAGCACTTGTATGTGCTCGCTCCTGAACTGGCTCTGTGTGTCCATTGACACAAAGAACGGCTAAGCCCTGTCCCATACAAATTGGCTGTGAATTCACTTAGCTTAGTGAATGAGGTGAAACTGTGCTGATTTGTGTCATCCAATGTGCAACGTTTCTGTTGTTTTTAAATATTTTTGCTAGAGAAAAATGCAAAGCAAAAAAATTGGATATTTTAGGTGTTACCCCTCAGTAAATTGCACACACAAAATATAAAACTGGAATTTTGTTCTTTTTTAGTACATGAAAACATAGTTAATATAAAACACTATTGTATAGTTATAAGCAAATGATGGTAACACCAATATTCATTACAGCCATAAACATTGCCAGGGCTATTGCATGTGAGAGTCCACAGATCTAAGATAAACAATATCCTATAACTGGTTAACTGGTAGTCATGTTTTTTGCTTAGCATTTTTTCTATCAATATTTTGGGATGTGGTGTAGCATGTTGATCCTTAGTGAGACTCTTGTTACGTATTTAAATATACTTGCACATGATTGGGGATTCTTTGCAAAATGAATTTTCACCCCATTTATTAATATGGTGAAAATTCACTTTGAAAAAAGTGAAACTTTGCTTTGAAAGTGAATGCTTAATTCTTTTAGTAAATCAGCCCAGCTATGTGCATAATACTTGTAGAGAAATAAATATTTCTGTAAAATTGTGCTCCATGGGCCTTGTATATATCAGTGCTGAGAACTCTTGGCACTTCCTTACAACCACCAACACAATGAGCTACCGGCTGTAAATACAAGATGAAAATTGAAAGCTGACATGTTTGGTGCAATGTTATCTGTTTTTCTAGAAAGGGGCACAGAAATTTTTGTTTTTTTTTCTTCAGTGGGATTTATGGATATGAATTCAACTGTGTTTTCTCTATAATACCTTCAGTTTAAATATCTTCTTCTCTGATCATTTCAGAAACTATATATATATATATATATACTATATATATATATATATATATATATATATATATATCCACAAATATTATTGCAGCCTGTTTTATTTGAATAGCTTTTAAACTATGGATAGCAGCCTTTTAAAGCATTAAATATGGTCAAGATCATTTATACTCCATCAGACAGCTAATGTAATGTAATGTAATTTATGAAAATTGTACACTTTGGGAAAAAAACCCATTACAAGGTGTTCTCTTACCAATGCAGGCTCCATTGGGCAGGAGCTTGAATCCAGCAGAACACTCACAGCGGTAACTCCCAGGACTGTTTAAGCAATCTGCATTTCTCTGGCAGAAGTAGTCTCCACTGGTACACTCATCAATGTCTGAAATATCAAAGAACGCTACATTCAGGCTGAGGACAAAATAAACAATGGCTTGCTTATCCAGCAATTCTGCCTTAATGAACACATATTTAGGGGTAAGTCTTTTTAAATGTGAATTCAGACACTAGGGGAAGTTAAAATTGACTTTTTCTCTAGATGTGGGTTTGCAGGAGGATAATATTTTAACTGATATGGAACTGTACAAATGTTAGCTTTTAATTCTATACATCAGTGCTCAACAGGTCATGTGGGGATATACATGCACCATATAATGATAATTACCAGGGGATCATCATCCCACAAATTACAAAATATTCAGTTAAGAAGTCTTTGTAGACTATTTTGTTAGCTTTTAATTCACTTAATCAATATAATCATTATATGATGCTATTGGTCAAACACCACTTTCTAATTTTTCAGAAATGAATATGTAGACGGATACATTCCCTTCCACTTAAAATAGATTACTAGTCTTCAGTACATACAAGGCAACTCAGCAATACTACATGAAACCATGTAGCAGATATAAGAGGCGCCACAGAAAATTCAAAATAAATCAAATAATAAGCAGCACCTCTAACCAAAAAAGGTAAAATAGTGTACAAATAAAAAGTATGCTAATTATTCACAAAACATGCAAGGATAAATAAAAATAAATTCATAAATATAAACATAAGTCCAGCCACCATAACAGTGATAGTCCAATATCAACTTAATGTCAATCTTGAAAACAAACACCCATGTGCAAATCCGACAACAGATGAAATGAATACACTCACCAGAGCTATATGCTGATTATATTATAAACCAGCATGATAGCATTTTGCTCTGGGAGCAATGATCTGCAGGATATCCCAGTAGAGGAACAGCAACCAATAGCTTCAACAACTTAGGTTTTACAAATTCTATTTTTTTTTAAAAAACTACTTACCATGTGTGTCTTGTGGTTTATTTGGATGTATATTGAGTAATAGTAAGTATCTGATAGAATTAAAATCAATAGGTTTGCTTGATAACAAGATATTTGCATAAAGGGACAGTGCTAGCCGCTATAAAGGAATGTGAAACCAAGTCTCCTATTGGTCCTGACGAAGCTGATTGAGATACGCCCAACAGCGAAATGTGTTGTCATCATACATCAGTGATGTCAGGGTTGGCCTCAATCCATCGGGGTTACACACACTAACAATGGGAGGTGTAACGGACGTGAGCTCACAGCCACATGGATTTCTTAGACAGCGGCATGCTGGTGACACAGCCAAGCTACATCTGCGAGGACTACCTATGAGCTCCCACTAGAACGTATGTTCTATGCTTATACTCACCTGAACTTACTGGATACGTCCACTATTGCCGTTATCTTTATACAGTGAACTGCTACATTCTTTCTCAATAATGCCTGTTAGGTATTTGCCCTGTATTCCACTGATCTGTGTAGTATGTCCAGTGAGTATACTGTGGGACTGAATACATCATCCTAAATTGTGACAGGACTGCCTGTGTACTACATCTTTAGTGGCACTTCTTGGGCTTTATTCCATTTGTCCCCATTCAGAAATCATTGGACTACCATGGGTATTAAATCCAAATCACTGCATCCTGGTGGTGCACCCTGTTGATATCTGTATTTTGACAAATGACTGGAAGATGACGCTGTTGTGTTGATATGTTTACAACCGTTATGGCCATACCATGACGTCATAGTTTTTTATTTTTCATTTTTATGTTACTACGGACAAAGTTGTCTGGGGTGAGGTGATGGATATTGGTGTACAGTAATTTTTTCTGTGTCTTTAATTGGCAATTACTGCACTTACATTTTTGATACATAATAAAGTATTATTTATATACACTTTATGTGTGATGATTTAGTGCATGGTCCTGTTATGTAACCACTTTGGTGGACATGCTGTTCACACAATCTTTTCAGTAAATTAGTATTTTGGTTACTGTTCATCTTTCCATACACACAGCTGAAATAAATAGGGATTTGGAAAGATTCTGGATTTTATGGTAGCAATGGTGTTCTGAGAACCCACAGTGTAGCTGCTTGAGCTTCATACTTGAATAGGTCATCATACTAATAGTTTAACAGCAGAACATTTGCCAGTCTTGTCCCATATACAGTGAGCCAACCCTAAAGGGCAATTCCAGGTAACAACAGAAATCAGTCCATTATGCCTAGGAAACATTGAGGCTGACCTAAAACAGAGAGTCCACTTAGCATAGCCTAACAAAAGTTTTTTGTAATCCATTTCAGTCAGATCCTAGAGATAGGCCTGTTTCCCTTGTAACTTACTCTATCTGTGCAAGATATATGTTGTTTTAGTGTGTTTGTAAAATAAAAGAATTGTGTGCAATGCAGAAAGAAGAAAACAACCTTGCACAACTATAAACAGCAGTCATCAAGTACTGGAGGCACTTATGCCTGCCAGGATATAGGGACATTACAATTATGTCCATTTAGGACAAAGTAACACTGCTTGCACATAGTGGAAAAGGAAAGCCACATGTCCCTGCCACCTCCCTGCTAAAGCTTAACCATCTGAACTGTTGTCAATTGATGTTCCATACTTCAAAGTCCTTTTAATGGGGGCTCCAGCAGTGCAGGAAGGCAGCAAAGGAGCCACTGATCACCATTCTAATGGTGGTGCAATTCACGCCCACCAATGACCACCAACATAGAGCGGCTAACATTTGTGGATTATGATATTCCACTGAACAGCATTGTTACATTAAAAGGGGGCAGTTATGTAAGTGCAATATAAGCTGCTAGTATAAGCTAGTGATAAAGAGGCATCGTTGTATATGCATTAGGCCAATGAAAAAATGCTGGGTGCTATATACAGAAATTGCTAGTCCAACAAGTGAGGAGACCCATGATTTCTATTTCTTTTCAAGGCTTTTTTCTTTCAGACTGTATTTACCACCTGCATAATATTAATAATGAGATGGAGAAAGATTTATTTTACAATAATGGAAAGATTTGTTGCATCTAATTAAATGAATACCTTCACAGATGAGGAGTAAATCATTGTAGCTAAATCCAGTTGGACATTCACAGCGGAAGCTGCCAATCTGATTGATGCAAACTCCATTTGCACAGATTCCTGGAATCTCTTTACATTCATCGATATCTAAAAATAGTAAACAATAAAACAGACATACATCAATGGGGTATATAAAAATCAAATAATAAATGTTATTCCTCTGCCTTTCAGTACAAATTATACACAATATTATAAGGCTACTTAGCCTAACTGGGCTCTTGGAACTGAAATGTAACTAAGTAGTTTCATGTAACAACACTGTACTATAGTCCCACCTGTAAGGGTCCATGCACACTGGCTTAAAAAAAGCTGCTTCTAGAGGAGTTTAGCGTTTTGCATGTGAGAGCAGCTCAATGTTATCTCATGTATCTATGCACATTAGAGCATTTAGTGGCATATTTTAAAGTGGTAGTAAAGTCCGCTTTGTGAGTTTTACCTACAGGTAAGCTTGTCATAAAGCTAACCTGTAGGTAAAATGAATATCTCCTAAACGTGCACCGCTTAGGAGATATTTCTCTGTTTTTGACAGCCAGCGCATGTGCTCTGAAGGAACAGCATACCCGTGCCGCTCCTTCAGAGCACAGTGCCATGGCTCGTGACTCCCGTGCGCATGCGCAGAAGTGACATCACTGCAGCTCAGCCAGTCAGATGGTCGGAACTCGTGAACCCGGAAGGCAGACCAGGGGAAGATGGAAACCCTGTCAGTGGTGAAAGCGTGCCATTGGAGGGCTTAGTTTTAAGGTAAGTACTTCATAATGTGATAGTATGCAGTGCATACTAGCATATTATAATATTGCCTTGCAGGGGATTTTTAAAAATTTTTTTTAATCTGAGTCTACTACCACTTTAAGATCAGTGTTTAGAGGCAAAAAAAACCCTTCTGTTTTGCATTTTTAAGTCAAGGCCTGGACTGAGCAAAGCTAAAAGGGAGGGCCAGCATGACTGGGGAGTGCAGATGAGGCGGAGCATGTATTTTGGGTGGAAGTATATGCAGAAGGTAAGGGGTTGTTACTTACCTGATTGGAGTACGCAACATTGAGGGGTGGTCTTGCCAGGATTAGGAAGGGGGTTGGGTCTTGTCGGAGGTCAGTCGGAGCTTGTGCCAGCACGGTGGTGGTTTCTCCCGCCCTCCTTTCCTGGAGCTGTTTCGTATTTTTGTTTTGCTGTTTTGGTTATGGTTTGTTCTTTGTGTTTGTCCTGTTGTTTGTTTTGTGTGGGTTCCTTGAATTTGTTTCTTGTTCAGAATGGCCTTTTTTGTCCCGTGGTGTTTGTCTGTTTGTTTTGTCATGGCAGCCGGCAGGGGTCGATGGGTCTTTGAAGGCGGTACTGGAGTGACAATTTGTTGGATTATGGGTTGGGCCCATCGTAGGTATGGGTGTCCCTTCCCAATTATAAGGTCACGTTGGTAATGTGGGAGTTCGTTGGCTGTACCTGGGACTACGTAACTGTAGTATTGTCCCCGAGGCGGTGTGTAGTAGCGGCTGGGGGCCTTTTCATTTGGTGTCAGATACAGCCGAGTTTGTGATGTGAGTAACGATGCCTTCGAAGACCTTGGACCCGGTTGAGATCATTACTGTCAGTTATTATTTGAGTGTACTGTAAAAAGTGTTATGTTTGAGTCATGTTAAATAAATGGCTGCTATGGCTAGTTTTACATCAAAAGAGAGTTGCGTGGTCATTTAGGTGGGGAAAGTCTGAAGTGTGGTGGTGGTTTTTTATGGATTAGGGGTAAGTATTAGCCTCGATATTTTGCAAATCCATCAGTCAAGAGCAGTTGTCTGGCTTCTGCCAAAGGCACTGGCATTTTTTTTTTATGCCAGCATGCATGGACTCTGAATGTGTACTACAGTGGCTTTGATGTAATACTTTCAATAAAAATGTACTTAGACAGAAAATTATACACAATACTGTAAAAAAAGTTAAATTGGGTAACAGTGGTAGAAGGTAGGAGACTTAAACAACAGTGGAAACTGAGATAAATAATTATTTTACTTCATAGCTTACCTACAGCCTTTCCAGTGTGAATATCAAATGTAAAGCCAGGGATTGATCCACAAAGATTCCTGAAATTAACTGTTAATGGAAAAATATTATGAATTATATATTTAGAGATTACGTACTGTATGCCAATAATGAAAACATAAATCTGGGGGGAAAACACAAGGACATCATTTGTTTTAAAATTAAAACCACTAAAATGGACTGCCCATAAGGATATTTGTGGGAAAGCCCTGGACATTTGTTTTATTTAAACTTTTTTTTATCTAAGCCATATCTTCTTAGCTGCAACAAATCAAAGTAAAAGTGTCACAGCTCCTCCCATCTATGAAAAGCACAGCAAGATGACTCCTCCAACTGCAGCAAGAGGATGAGCATGCTGTGTTGGAGGACATCCTGTGTCAGGGGTCTATTCCAGTTGGGATCCCTTTGCAGATGTGCCTCAAAAGTACAAGCTAGTGGGTGATTCAGTCCTGAAATGTGATTTCTTAGAGAACTTATTTTTTAACTTAAAGCATGTACCAAGGTGGGATATGCTACTATCCTATGTGTGTTTTTTTTACCCTCTGTACCATTAAACTAGATTAAGAAATAATTTTATTTGGATTGTTCATACACATGTATTTTGGACCCATAACCTGAGAAATGAGTAGATGACTTCACTGTTGCAAGGTTTGCCTAAGAGTATGAAGTTTGGAAGGTGGCTGTTTTTGGTGGCAAAAAGTGAACTGAGAGTATTAAATGTACCCTGTACTCTTAACACCAGAGCAAGTAAAACTGGATCCCACTCCTTCTAATACTGGAACTTCTGTTTGCATTTTAAGCTATCTTTACAGACTAATAAATATGTCTCTTCAAACTTATCCTGTTGAGAGTATCCTCTGCCCCATCGGTATCTTTTAAGACTTGAATGCAAAATGCTTCCAGGTTGCCTTTGGCTTTTATTTGTAAGAAACGGGGGATTTCTTTCATTCATAAACTGGCAGGCTTCTTTCCTTTGTATGACAAAACTTCCAAATTGCTCCCTGCTGACACTGCACAATTAATTTACAAAATCCATTAACATAATTATAGAGCTGTGTTTTAATCACAGTTGCAGGAAGCTTGTCTCCACAGAATGCAATCCCTGTAGAGAGGGAATGTTTCAATTTGTAATTACGCCTAGAACAGCATCCTGCCTGCTTAGCTTACTGCCAGTGAGGCAGTCACTTCCATGGAATGTTAATACACTTAATGCATTAGCCCATGTAAAGCAATGGAAATGATGAGCATGAGTACATTTGATGTACATCTAGAATATACAAAAATGGACTGTACAGCTTATAGGAACAGCAAATAAACATGGCAGGGGACAAAAGAAACCAGAAAGCATTTTTCCATTTATCACAAATGTTCAAATGTTCACTGAGCAGAGAGCTTTTGGTCTTGATGCAGAAAAAGGTTTATTTGCTAAAGCTGAAGAGTGCAAAATCTGGCTCGCTTCTGCATAGAAATCAATCAACTTCTAACCTAATCTTTGGCAATAAAACCTGGAAGCTGATTGGTTTCTATGCATGTGATCCTAATTTTGCACTCTCTAGCTTTAATAAATAAATTCCAAAATGCCTTAACGAAGAAAATTTCTTGTTGCTCATATCTTCTTGAGGTGCAAAATCATCAGACATACTAAGTCATCATACTGATCTCCACTGGCCTAGTGTCTTTGCTGTACCAGATCCACAAAAGCTAAGCTAATGTTACTACCCCACTATACAGTATACAGTATATGTAATTTGCTTTTAACAATCCCCATTTTATCTTCATTTTCACCTACGGGATTTAGCAAAGGCTTCTAACTTCTCTTCTGTTGCACTATATTGCATCATGTTTTAGGGCCTGTGTCAATGGGCTTTTGTTGGGTTTTGCATTCCGATACAAGTGTAGGCAGTATAAAACCCAATTGAAGACAGCCAAATGCAGAAGGAGGTAAATTACAGGTCAAACTGTCAGTGAATGCTCAATCACCTCAGAAGTGTTTCAAAGTGATGTAATCAAAACAGGCCCAAAGCCCATCAACATAGGTCCTATGATTGCTCTGTATGTTTACATTACTAAAGATGGATAATTTTGTCATTTTACTCTTGTTTTGCCTATGGCATGGGCAGAAGCCACCAGTCCTAATAAACACCTGAATTCAACTAAATAAATCTTATAGGTGACAACAATGCATAACTCATCCACCGTGTTACTTGATGTTCTTGTATCTCTTAAATAGTGTAAAGCCAACAAAGGTAGAAGTTTAAATAATGACCTACTGATGTATGTCACGATAAGCATAAACAGGTCTTGTGATAAGATCTCACACATTCGGTCAAACAGTTACAGGATCTTACGGTGTATACAGTGAAAAATAGTAGGATAATACAGGATGTACAATGTAAATGACAACAATGGTACATAATAAAAAGAAAGGCATGCTCAATGTGATTTTACAGGGTGACATCAAACCAGGGACGGACTGACAACTCAGGGGGCCCCCGGGCAATAGGGGATCATGGGGACCCTGTGTCCTTGCCCAAACTCTCAAAAAAAACCTATGAAAAAGGTACCAGGGGCATCTCATGGGGCCCCCTACTGACCCCGAGCCCTCGGGCAGTACCCGAGTTTTCAAATGGTCAGTCTGCCCCTGCATCAAACATAGCTGAAAGATGAATAATCAAAAGATGATAGAGTATATTATAAAATTAGGTTCTATACCTGTTCCAGGAGTTGGGCATCGTTCACACGGCTTACTCCAGGCTTTACCAATGTTATATGTACAGCAGCACATCTTCTTGGTGACATTGAAGGGAAGCTCATTCTCACACATAGTTCCATTGTAAGTTCGGTAGCAATAACTCTTCCTCATATCTGTCATCAATCAGAATGCAAATAAATTCACGACACTTCTTTGAACATTGTTTAACGTTGATAAATCAAACTTGTTTCTTTGACTTTCTTATAATCAAGAAACATTTGATAGTTTTGCCTATGCTTTAGGACTGTTTAGAATATGTTAGCTTTAGGCCAAATATGAAAAATTATACTAGGAAAAAATGAGATAATGGGTGAAGTGAATTAACAACATGCACGTGCAATATGCAATCATCACCTATATCAATACAAGGCTTAATAGGTCATTATTCATCAAATACAGTAAATTCATGATATTACAAAGATATGACCCCTTATTCCCGATTATTTTAATTCTTGGTAATTATGTTCATTTTCTAAGTCATGGTATAAGACATTTATATTGGCAGGTCGCCTTGGAAAACTATTTCTCTGATGATACACATATAAGTATACATAGAACAAAAATACAACATGAGATTATCCATAGAATGTAAATCAATGCCTGTACTGGCATCACTACTGTGTTGAAGTGCACCTATCATGAAAGAATTATTGTGTGTAGGCTGACATTGCTGATCTCTCCACTGGACTATGTTCATTCCCTGGCTGTCATGTTAATGCTTTGCTTCAATTTATATGAGCCATTGACCTGGAATAAGTATAAAGATAAGGAATTATAACACTTTTTGCACTTGTTTGCAGCATGCTTGTTCTAGCTCCATGACTCAAAAGTAATAAAGGAAGATACATCCAGGCAACACAGAAATGACAGTCCCCTATATTCCTGACAGATATATATATATATATATATATATATATATATATAAAAATAAATATAATATATACACAATACAGGTGAAACTTGAAAAATTAGAATATCGTGCAAAAGTTCATTTATTCCAGAAATGCAACTTTAAAGGTGAAACTAATACATGAGAAAGACTCATTACATGCAAAGCAAGATAGTTCAAGCTGTGATTTGTCCTAATTGTGATGATTATGGCTTACAGCTCATGAAAACCCCAAATCCACAATCTCAGAAAATTAGAATATTACATGTAATCAATAAAACAAGGATTGTACATAGAACAATATCGGACCTCTGAAAAGTATAAGCATGCATATGTACTCAGTACTTGGTTTGGGCCCCTTTTGCAGCAATTACTGCCTCAATGCGGCATGGCATGGAAGCTATCAGCCTGTGGCACTGCTGAGGTGTTATGGAAGACCAGGATGCTTCAATAGCGGCCCTCAGCTCTTCTGCATTGTTCGGTCTCATGTCTCTCATCTTTCTCTTAGAAATGCCCCATAGATTCTCTATGGTGTTCAGATCAGGCGAGTTTGCTGGCCAATCAAACACAGTAATCCCACGGTCATTGAACCAGGTTTTGGTGCTTTTGGCAGTGTGGGCAGGTGCCAAGTCCTGCTGGAAAATGAAGTCAGCATCCCCATAAAGCTCATCTACGGAAGGAAGCATGAGGTGCTCCAAAATCTCCTGGTAGACTGCTGCGTTGACCCTGGACTTAACCTCCCTAGCGGTCTGATTATGTCCATATTTCTGTGCTCAAAGCGGTACATTTTTTTGCATGGAAATATGTATTTTTTTTATTGTAGGCCTGTAATTTTTAGGAAAGCTCACTGAAATCTGTCCAAACAAGAGTCTAGTAAACATCCCGGGTATTATAAAATTTGAAACACAAAATCATAAATTATAATATAATACATAATCATAAAAAATAATAATATAATAATAATAAATTTAATTCAATAATATAATCAAACCAAAAACACTGAAATTTGAAATATAGCGCCAAGTTCGCACATCACTGAGCAAAGTCGTAAAATCGTTTTCAGTGTCTGATGACGAATTTCCCCACGAATCATTATCACTCAATTCTGCAAGTGGTTCTAATTTACTATCGCTGTTCTCTAGCTGGTCTAAAACCGCTTTTGACATAAAGGGACGTTTTTTGGACGCCATGGACGTTTCTCAGTTTCCAGGCAGAAAGAACAGTAAAAATGCAGGCAGGACACAGGACAAAGCACTCGGGACAAAATATATGTGAAATGGTTTGATACAGTAATGTTTTACTATGTGATTTTAGCGATTTTAGTGAATGTCACTTTTTGGCATTTTCAAATTTCCCGCCGTTCTGTCCCCCATACGTCCCGACGCTCGCAGGGGACGGAACCCAGATGACAAATGCCAGCATCTGCCGGATTACATTGCCGGGGACACTGCAGGAGGGGACATCGCGAGAGCGCAGGACAAGGTAAGTGATCAAGGGATCACGGAGCAGCGCCGCATGGTAAGCCCGAGTGTAGCTCGGGGTTACCGCTTGTGGTACTGAAACTTTACCCCGAGCTACATTCGGGAATACCTCCAGGGAGGTTAATGAAGCACAGTGGACCAACACCAGCAGATGACATGGCTCCCCAAATCAACACAGACTGTGGAAACTTCACACTGGACTTCAAGCATCTTGCAGTGTGTGCCTCTCCATTCTTCCTCCATACTCTGGGTCCTTGGTTTCCAAATGAGATGCAAAAGCTGCTCTCATCAGAAAAAAGGGCTTTGGACCACTGAGCAACAGACCAGGTCTGTTTTTCTTTAGCCCAGGTAAGACTCTTCTGACGTTGCTTGTTGTTCAGGAGCGGCTTGACAAGAGGAATACGACATTTGAAGCCCATGTCCAGGATCTGTCTGTGTGTGGTGGCTCTTGATGCACTGACTCCAGTCTCAGTCCACTCCCTGTGAAAGTCCCCAATACTTTTGAATGACCTTTTCCTGACAATCCTCTTGGTCATCCCTGTTACTTGTGTACCTTTTTCTTCCACACTTACCTTTCACATAACTTTCTATTAACGTGTTTTGATACAGCACTTTGGGAACATCCAACTTCGTTTGCAATTACTTTTTTAGGCTTTCCCTCCTTTTGGAGGGTGTCAATGATGGTTTTCTGCACAACTGTCAGGTCAGCAGTCTTTCCCATGATTTTGATTCCTACTGAACCAGACTGAGAGACCATTTAAAGTCTCAGGAACCCTTTGCAGGTGTTATGGCTTAATTAGCTGATTAGAGTGGGACACTTTGAGCCGAGAATATTGCACCTTTTCACAATATTCTAATTTTCTGAGATTGTGGATTTGGGGTTTTCATGAGCTGTAAGCCATAATCATCACAATTATGACAAATCCCGGCTTGAACTATCTTGCTTTGCATGTAATGAGTCTATCTCATATATTAGTTTCACCTTTTAAGTTGCATTACTGAAATAAATGAACTTTTGCACGATATTCTAATTTTTTGAGTTTCACCTGTATATACACATATACGCACATACTGTCTAAAAACAAAACATCTTGTAATATCACAGCGTAAATGCAATATCAGGGCTTCTGATGTGCTGCTGTAGCTATAAGAAAGGACTGTTTGCAGATGAGCCTTTTTTTTTTTTGTACATTGCTATAATATGCCTTGTAGTTGGGAAACACAGGCAGCTGGGGCCCACACGTATCAGATTAGTTAGTTTTTTGTTGGCTGGCTAGTGAGCCCATTCCAGGGTATGATAGCAGGCAGAATACTAAATCTACTGACCACAAATGGCGGCTAAAAAATATGGTTATACTCTTACAGGTGAATGTCACCGGTAGATTATTGTGCCTCATAATGCATTTGGCACCCATTCACAGTGAAAATAATGCAGCAGCAGGGGAGCCAAACAGTTCAATCAGAGTCCAGAAAATGGGCCGACTAAAATCGAAGCAGGTTATTTTGGGACAGTGGTGGTAGCAATGATCAGCAGTACCACAGAGTGTAAAGGGGGTGGGGATGATACTGAAACTGAAAAAGGAGGAGTCTGTCAGTGGATCTGGTGACAGTGGTGGTTGTAAAGGATAAAGCAAAACTTAATCAGGTCATTAGTAGTATCATGGAGTGCAGTAACAGCGGAGGTAGTGCTGGGGACTTGGGAGATGGAGAATGGCTCTGTTGCCAGGGACTGTTTGAACAGGAAATGGGACAGTGGAGCTGAACTTACCATTGGACCAGGATCAATGAAGATGAGACTGATATTTGATATTTGCACTGATAAAATGTGAAGAATTATCACATATGCGCTGAAGACTGGGTTTTCAGGGATTAATACACGTGTTGGATATGGAGGGTTTATTACAGATGTACTGGGGAGTTGCTACTGAGGGGTAAATGCACTTGCACTGGGTACTTGCATATGAGAGGTTAATGTACATAACAATTAGACATAAGTAGAAGAATATTTGCTGAAAGGGTAGAGGATGTATTTTGGATATTGAGTGCTGAGGGGGTTAACCTGTATTAGCTGGATACTGGATGCTGAGAGGTTAACATACTTTTCTAGGGACTGAGCATGGAGGACATAAAGAACGTGAGCTGAGGACTGAGCACTGTGGGGTAATTGTGCATATGTGCAGAGGAATGGGTGCTAAGGGGTTAAAGCACCTGGGTGCTAAGGAGAGAATGCATATATGCTGCACACAGGTCACTGAAAAAAGTGATTCATCAGATGCTTTATATATACTGCTCAGAAAAATTAAAGGAACACTTTTTAATCAGAGTATAGCATCAAGTCAATTAGACTCCTGGGATATTGATCTGGTCAGTTAAGTAGCAGGGAGTTAATCAGTTTTAGCTGCTATGGTGTTAATGAAATTAATAACAGGTGTACTAGATGGGCAACAATGAGATGACCCCCAAAACAGGAATGGTTTTACAGGTGGAGGCCACTGACATTTTTTTCCCTACTCATCTTTTCTGACTTTTTTTCACTAGTTTTGCATTTGGCTAGGGTCAGTGTCACTACCGGTAGCATGAGGCGGCACCTGGACCTTACAGAGGTTGCACAGGTAGTCCAACTCCTTCAGGTTGGCAGATAAATATGTGCCATTGCTAGAAGGTTTGCTGTGTCTCCCAGCACAGTCTCAAGAGCATGGAGGAGATTCCAGGAGACAGGCAGTTACTCTAGGAGAGCTGGACAGCTCCATAGAAGGTTCTTAACCCATCAGCAGGACTGGTATCTGCTCCTTTGTGCAAGAAGGAACAGGATGAGCACTGCCAGAGCCCTACAAAATGACCTCCAGTAGGCCACTGGTGTGAATGTATCTGACCAAACAATCAGAAACAGACTTTATGAGGGTGGCCTGAGAGCCCAACCTCCTCTAGTGGGCCCTGTGCTCACTGCCCAGCACCATAGAACTATCATTTGCTATTGAACACCAGAATCGGCAGGTCCACCACTGGTGCCCTATGCTTTTCACAGATGATAGCAGGTTCACCCTGAGCACATGTGACAGATGTGAAAGGGTCTGGAGAAGCCATTGAGAATTTTATGCTGCATGTAACATCATTCAGCATGACCATTTTGGTGGTGGGTCAGTGATGGTCTGGGGAGGCATATCCATGGAGGGACGCACAGATCTCTACAGGCTAGACAATGGCACCCTGACTGCCAGTAGGTATTAGGATGAAATCCTTGGACCTATTGTCAGACCCTACGCTGGTTCAGTGCTGGTTTTCAGTGGGTCCTGGGTTCCTCCTGGTGCACGCAGTTCCTGGAGGATGAAGGAATCAATACCACTGAATGGCCCCCCCACGCTCGCCTGACCTAAATCCAATAGAACACCTCTGGAATATCATGTTTTGGTCTATCTGACGCTGCCAGGTTGCCCCTCAGACTGTCCAGGAGCTCAGTGATGCCCTGGTCCAGATCTGGGAGGAAATACCCCAGGACATCATCCATTGTCTCATTAGGAGCATGCTCCGACATTGTCAGGCATGCATAGAAGCATGCGGGGTTCATTCAAACTACTGAGTACCATTTTGAATTGCTGCAATGAAATTTCAGCAAAATGGACTAGCCTGCTGCATAATTTTTTAACTTTGATTTTCAGGGTGTCTTTGAATTCAGTCCTCTGTAGGTTGATAATTTTCGTTTCAATCAAACCATGGGGCATACTTACGTTCCTAACACATTACCCAGTCCATATTACTATAGATATTGAGCATGATATTTTTCCCCATTGAGATCTGATGTGTTTTTTAAAGTGTTCCTTTAATTTTTTGGAGCAGTATATATTGCTTTTCTATAGCACATTGCAGAAGAGACTATAAAATAAAATGGCTCCTTACCCATACAGTTATGTCCACCATTGACCTGCATGTATTCTGGAGGGCATATGCATGTGAAGTTTCCCAATGTATTGTAGCAAGTTCCTGGTCCACAGACCCCAGGGCTTGTGACACATTCATCAATATCTGCAATAATTATTAAACAAAATTCAGTCATAGAAACATTTTAACCATCAGGGACATGATGAAACTAATGAAGGCATCTGGTTTACTCTTTAGCTGCAATCACCTTCACATATGCGGGTCTCCTCACTGAGGTAGTAGCCTTGTGGACACTCACACTGGAAGCTTCCAAATGTATTTATACAGTTACCGCCTTGGCACAGACCCGGCAGCTCCTGGCATTCATCAATATCTTTAAATATAACAGAAACAGCATGTATATCAATTAAAGTAGAAATCATTTTTTTTACATGTGTAAACCATGAAAGAAAAATTTTAATCCACAAATATATCACATTGATGTTTGTTGTATCTTATATCAATTCATAGTATGAATTGAACATTTTACCATACATAACATTTTTTTAATGATGCAATAGCACTATTTTTTTAGTTTTGTTGTATTTTAGATGCTTTGTAGGAATGAGTTTTCTCTGGATCACTATTAACATAATATGATCACATACTATAACAACATAACATTTCTATGGAATATAGGATAAATCTGAATGTATTTATTTTTGTGTGAAGCCTAAATATGTTATAGGTTTGGGTTTACTTTGGTGTATAAATGCCAATAAGTTTGCAGCCTAGCAGTGAAAGCTAACTTGCCAACATCTGACCACAAATATTATAGTGTAGCAACCTAAATTAGCAGATTCAGATTTAGTGTGTATTTTTGTCAATGAAGCAGGAACAATGGTTGGGCATTGCCTGTGCTAGCTTATATTAGCAACTAAAGCTTTTCTTAAATATAACTAAAGGTAAAACTTTTTTTTTTGTTTTAGTAGTGTGGAGATGGATTATAACATCTATACATCTATTAGTTTTTATTAGTCTGTGTCCCAGTTAGGGAGATTCACCCTCTCTATTTGGCCTGTTTACCATTATCAATGAAAGTGTAAAAGAAAATCTCAAATTTTTGGGTTGTCCCCAGAAAAGTAATAGCAGAAAATCTTCAATGGGGACACTAGTTCTGGTGACCTGGGAGTTCCAAGGAATTCCTTTAATTTGCAAAGATTTCCTCCCACTTCATGTTTTTGGCTATAGGACAGGAAGTGAAGTTAAATCTCCCCAACTGGACACAGATGGCAAAAAACTGTCAGTGGATATATCTCTCCTGTACTCTATCCAAAATGAACCAAAAATTCTGTAGTTGTGCTTTAACTGAGGCAATCATTCTCAAATATCCAACTTGGTCCATAACCATTCCCCCCTCCCAAATGGTAAGCAAAAATGACCAGTGAAGTGTACAAACATCCAAAGAGATTGGAATCAGGTGAATTGGGCATCACTCATATCATGTCTGTGGGTACCTTATGACTACAGCCATGAGATCTGCCAATTCACAAAGCAATTTCCAAGTACACCAGTAAAGCATCTAATATAGAATGTTGCTGCTTATGAGGCCATCATAATGGTTCTTACCTTCTAAGAGAATGGTGATGGGATTGGGTCTGAATCCTTCTCCTCCAGGGCACAATGTATTGTACTCGGCTAAAAAACAACAAGATCTATTAGTAATTAAAGGCAAATTCCAATCTTGTTTTAAAACATTTAAAATATATGATATATAATTGATTTTCTGCACTTGACAAGAAATTAAAATGTGTTTGTACGTAAATAACATTGTGACCAAGGATACTTAAAAAATAAAAATATCCTCAACATAACAGCCCCTCACACTTAACAGAGAGAATGAAATCTTAATGTCTAAAGTTTTGCTAAACCCACAATAAGTCTGTATATGCAGTAAAGCAAGCTTGTTAAATTCACTGTGGAACCTAAGTTGTTAATCCTCTGAATTGTGTAAAAAAGCTGTTTGATCCAGACTTCTCTAATCCTCCCCTACTTCTAGTGCCCCCCTCCTATCTCCTGATAAGACATATCGTTTGGAGACACTCTGCACATGCTCAGTTTTGGTGTGTATTGCCAGAGAGGTTTTTTTTTTCTTGGAAGAGTGCGTGTGATCAGCACAAAGCCAATCAACACTGTCCAGACAGAGATCAGGGGTCCTGAATCCTCCGACAGCGGAATAAAAACTCCTCCTACAAGCTTTAACATGTGCTCTGCTGGACACTGATAGAAGTCACAAGACTGCTCTAACTGCTGATGAGAAAAAGTATTTATTTAGCAGTTTATATTTACTAAGATAATTGCATTTTCCATGTTCTGTATACTATGGGAGACCTGATATAGTGAATGCAGGGTCCTGGGTTTAGTGACACTTTAAGCTTTCAAGATATGTATCTGGAAACCTTTAGACCCTTTGCAAGTACAGGAATGGCCAGTGCCACAGGGGATTTCTGCCTGAAAGTGTACTTTGTACTAAAAGTACACTAATCTTTAAACTCTATCAAGTGTTTTATTGAATAAAAGTAAACAAAAGTCAAGATTTGGATCTGTAATGCTTTTTTCATGTCCTCTCTTCTGCTTTATCTCACTGACCTGCAGAAGCAGAAAGTCCTCTCCTTATTTCCTAGTTCTTCATCTCTGCTACAAATTTTGCTATACTATACTATTTAAACTATAGTGACTGCAGAGCTTAAATAATAGATTTAACTAGAACAGGGGTAGGCAACCTTAAAGAGATAGAGATCTACCTGAACTACATCAGAGAAGTCAAAGATCACCGGGCACTGTGTCGGCCAGTGTCATCTCCTCACACCGGATTTAAACCTCTAATTGCCGTACTACTGTGTCACAATCACGTGCTTTCCATGGCAATCATGGGTTTAAATCAGGTGGTGAGGAGGCAACATATCACCTCATCACCATCTGTCAAACACACTTGGATCGCTTTGCAGAGGAGCAGTAGTGTCCACTGTACTTGTGAATGAGCCCTTACAGTGGGAATCGAAAGTTTGGGCACCCCAGCTAAAAATTTGTATTAATGTGCATAAAGAAGCCAAGGAAAGATGGAAAAAATCTCCAAAAGGCATCAAATTACAGATTAGACATTCTTATAATATGTCAACAAAAGTTAGATTTTATTTCCATCATTTACACTTTCAAAATAACAGAAAACAAAAAAATGGCGTCTGCAAAAGTTTGGGTACCCTGCAGAGTTAATATCTTGTACTGCCCCCTTTGGCAAGTATCACAGCTTGTAAACGCTTTTTGTAGCCAGCCAAGAGTCTTTCAATTCTTGTTTGAGGTATCTTTGCCCATTCTTCCTTACAAAAGTCTTCCAGTTCTTTGAGATTTCTGGGCTGTCTGTCACGCACTGCTCTTTTAAGGTTTATCCATAGATTTTCAATTATGTTGAGGTCAGGAGATTGTGAAGGCCATGGCAAAACCTTCAGTTTACGCCTCTTGATGTAATCCCCCGTGGATTTCGAGGTGTGTTTAGGATCATTATCCATTTGTAGAAGCCATCCTCTCTTTAACTTCAGCTTTTTCACAGATGGCATCAAGTTACCATCCAAAATTTGCTGAAATTTTATTGAATCCATTTTTCCTTCTACTCATGAGATGTTCCCTGTGCCACTGACTGCAACACAACCCCAAAGCATGATTGATCCAACCCCGTGCTTAACAGTTGGACAGAGGTTCTTTTCATTAAATTCTGTGCCCCTTCTTCTCCAAACGTACCTTTGCTCATTCCGGCCAAAAAGTTCAATTTTAACCTCATCGGTCCACAGAACTTGTTTCCAAAATGCATCAGGCTTGTCTATATGTTCATTTGCAAAGTTCAAACGATGATTTTTGTGGTGAGGACGTAGAAGAGGTTTTCTTCTAATGACTCTTCCATGAAGACCATATTTGTACAAGTATCTCTTTATAGTGGAATAGTGTACCACAACTCCAGTGTCTGCCAGATCTTTCTGGAGGGATCGTGCAGTCAAACGTGGGTTTTGAATTGTTTTTTTCTCACAATCCTGCAAGCTGTTCTGTCTGATATTTTTCTTGGTCTTCCAGATCTTGCTTTAACTTCCACTGTTCCTGATGACTGCCATTTCTTAATTACATTCCGAACAGAGGATATTGACATCTGAAAACGCTTTGCTATCTTCTTATAGCCTTCTCCAGCTTTGTGAGCGTCAACTATTTTCAGTTTCAGTTTTCTAGACAACTGCTTAGAAGAACCCATGGTGCTGATTGTTGGGGCAAGGTCAGATGAGTCTGGGCATTTAAAACCTTTGAGCTTGACATCACCTGGTCTTCCCAGACGATGATTGAGAACAATCCATGACACTGGCAGGTCTCAGCTTGGCAAAGGGGGCAGTGCATGCTATAAATTCTGCAGGGTGCCCAAACTTTTGCAGACGCCATTTTTTTGTTTTCTGTTATTTTGAAAGTGTAAATGATGGAAATAAAATCTAACTTTTGTAGACATATTATAAGAATGTCTAATCTGTAATTTGATGCCTTTTGGAGATTTTTCCATCTTTCCTTGGCTTCTTTATGCACATTAATACAAATTTTTAGCTGGGGTGCCCAAACTTTCGATCCCCACTGTAGTTGCATCCAAAGATGGCACTCTTAGGGCTTGTTCACATGTAAAGTTGGGGGGGTGGTAAAACCCTGTGGTTGAGCTATGGTTTTACCGTCCATGATCCCTACCCCCTTAAGCTGCTGAGGCAGCAGCCAAAGGTATATACATGCCGCAGCAGGAATTACACACCCTGTTGCTTTTGGTGAGTGCTACCACCTGTCATTTGAGACACATTCAAGTAAATGAGGCCACTCTGCAAGTGCCTCACAACCGCATGCTTCTGTGGGGTCCAAGGGGTTAAAGCATGTGGTGAGAAAGCAACATACCGCTGCTTGTTGAACCTCAACCATGACAGGGCGTAGGAGCCAGCACTACAGAGGAGACATCAACTTATGCAGCTTTTGCTCCCTACTACAGCTCCAACTTTTGAAGTAGTCCTTCTGCATTGCACACTGTTTGATGCTCTGGATGGTGGGTAAGCAAGCCCAAACTGTGATCTACCAGTCACCTGGCCGAGATCTACTGGTAGATCACAATCTACTGGTTGCTGACCACCGAAATAGAACTAGAAACTCACATAACGCAGATGTCCTTACTATAAAGATGCTTGCCAAAAAAAGATAGGTGCTGATGTGACAGCTACAGATAAGTGTCTTATTTTGGATGAATCAACAGACTAAACAATGTTATTTAGAACGGGGCCACATCTCAAACCCTCTGATCTACTAATTAGCAATACAGCCCTGTTTTTTGGTATTTCAAGTCTTCATGAATGCACAAATATACAAAACAAAGTCCCATACTAAAAAAATAATAAAGTCTTTTGACCATCTTTTTAAAAATTCCCTTAAATGTTGTCATACTCTATGCTGGCATATTGGTTGGACCACTAAGTGACTTCAATATTACTAGTTGGATGTCACATATCTCATTTTCTGGTCTTTAGATTGAGTAACTTCATTGTTTTTGTTTTGTACTTTTGTGCTAATTTGAAAACTGGATTATAGCTACAGTATGCTTGTACTTTTGTATGGCTGTACTCTATTTATTTTCGCAAATTAAAAGTTTGTAATCGAAAAAACAAATTCCCTTAAAAATAGTTCTGCTAGGAAAACCTATTTACACCAAAACAACTTACATTGAAACAACGCTACCCGGAAAAAAATGAAAACCAGCAGAAGTACCTTTAATTTATTTTTCTGGCCTCCCTGTCTCTGAACCATGTAAATAACATATGCTTTCATTGCTATAGCCCTAAACACATAATCTCAGGACTTACAGCTGTTAACCGGTGGGCATATTTCACATGGGTTTCCCCAGGCCTTTCCAAGAGAACAGCAGCATGAAGAGCGGCTTACACCAACTCCAATCTCTGTGCTACAGGAGATTGTACCATCCCCACGAGGTCCATGATTGAGATAACAGTTACCCACTCTGGTATCTGAAAGAAATATTAGGAACAGTCAATGGACAATCCATTAGCAAGTACACGATTTACCATGCCTGGATAGTGTGCTTGTGTTACTGAATAACTAGCTCACTTGTACTGCTTTTATTTGTCATTAAAAACCTTTTGGGATTAAGGAACATTTTACGAGACACCCTGCTGAATGAATAGGTGTGATTGTCTACACATTCCAGATTTTTTTGAGATCCTACTTTTAATGTAACGATGAAAAGAACCAGCATAAGTAGTATTTCTGTACTAGTATTCATCATAGTTTGGTCTCATTCCAGCTCAACTTCTGAACAATGTTTTAATTAACTTTGAAGCTTTAAGAGTATGCCAAGTACACAGTGCCTGCTTTCCTGCTGAATTAAGTCAGTTACAATAAAAAGTATGACATCTGGACAGGTCAATAGATCAGGCATTAAAAGTGATTACTTCCAAAAACAGATCTGGTTCAACAATAATATATTGGTCTCAGGGAGACAAACAAACTGGCTAACATTTCTTTCCTGAAGTGTTGGAAATTTTCTGTACATTGTGGCATTGCAGAATGCCTAGTTAAACAAAAACAAGCATGTATATTTTCTTTTAATAGCATCTTTCCAGAGTTATACATTTTTTCACTACATAAAGTGTAAACCATAGGCAATGTTCATGTACAGAATAATGTAGCCAGTCACATTCTTTTCTTAGCATCAAAATGATGTAATTCATGGTATATAAGAAATATTTGTTTAGGTTATTTGAGAAAAAAATAGTACAAACATCAACATCTCAACTACTGCAGTAATGTTTGAGGCAGACTTGGGTGTACCTGTTACCCTGCAATTAGAATTCCCAGCATTTCCTATTTATCATTGCTCCTGTCTGCCATCTGGCAGGACATATTGTTATAAGGAAATGCTAAGGGTGGCAAACATACTGTATATTTAAAAAATAAGATATAGATGATCAAAAAATTGTAAAGAATCTCAACGTTGCAAATGTCAACTGTTGGAAAGTTCAATAGCTTTCCTAAAATGGTGTTTTTCTTCTGAACATATGTGTTAGTGATAAATCACATTTTATTCAAATTTCACATTTAGATTTTTTTTACTGCCTTTAATTCTAACAATGCTCTCACTGAAAACATTTTGTATTAAAGCCACTCTGTCACTAAATTAAAAGCTTCAAAATAAGACCACCCCTTAAATAAAATACTTAAAGCAGTTGTAAACCCTTTTGTATACACAATGAAGTGACCACCCTCTGGTGATAACCAGAGATGAAACAAGTCCATCCTCCTAAATGAGTTGCACCTGTTTTTCTGCAGCCCTCTATTCTCCACAGTCTTCCAAAACAAACATTTTACACAGCATCTCCCAGCAGTAGAAAGCAGGGGATGGTGATCTGACTTCACACTGTCTTTGCTCTTTTTCCTGCTCACCTCAATTCAGGATACTGTAGTGACTGTTGGATCAAACCACAGTGCTCAGCAAGAGAAAAGAAGTTTTTTTGCGCCTGAAGATTATATGACTCTTCAAGACAGCAAACATATGTGGCATGGCAGCGGTACTGGTAAGTATTAGGCCCAAAACTCACTTTTCCAATGTGATGCATTGTGGTAACACATCTTATTGTATGCTACATCCGAAAATGAGTTGCGGTGCCACAAATTATGAATGGCAACCCAATGCACTAAGGCAATGCTACTTTGATTCACATTTTCCTTAGAAATACCTGTAAATTAGCTTTGATGTTGCTGTCATGTGACCATTTGATCCTCACTATTAGATGTTACTAATAGTCATGGGCAGAGGCTAGCAGTGTGCATTGGTCTGATGCCGCTGACATGCACAGCCAGCCAGCTATGCACCTCATGAACATAACTTTGCTACTGGCAATTTCCACCGGTCTCATAACACCAGCCCTGTAGTTCTCTGAAAAAAATGCAGGGGATGTGTTTATGACAGCTGGGCAGCCTTATGGGGACTGAAGACTTCTAAGACTAGCTGCATAGAGAGGAAGGGCCTCTTTAGCACATATGATGCAGAAGTTGGAACCAGATGTTGTTCACAACTGAAGATAGGTAAAAACAAATGAGACTGGAGTTCTTTAAGTTGGCTATACTGTGCTCAGATTGTTAGTAGTTTGTTAATGCTTTCAAATTAAAACTCACTTCTTTGCATCATTCTATTAATCAACCTATTAATTTCTCTGGTAATTTACCAGGTGAAAACAATACATTCATGTAAATGAATGTGAAATGCATAATAATCAAGGGTAAACATTGGCACTAAAATATTATTACTTCACTGTATTTTACATATACAGTACTTTATATAAATGTATTATGTACAGATAAGGCCTTTTGTTATTTATATGCAAGGGCTGATTTTTAGTTGTTGTTTGGCCCCATTGCATCATACAGACTATTAAGATTATTAGGAATAAAAGGGTAGGGAAATGGGCCATATTAAAAAAAAAATACACTACAAATTCTCATGCTGAATAGGTTACAATGAATAACTGCGTTTACAGTGATATATGTGATTTAGAAGGTAGCATCTGGAAATCAGATGTAGCAGAGGTTAATACAAGCTAAGAGGCTGGGGCACTCCAGGAGTAATGACAAGTTACATTTGTACATAGTCAGGTGGATCCTTGCAGTAAATAGCTTTTGTTAGCTTTCTTCTGGAGATCAGATTGTATAGCCTTTTAAGAAATACATTTTAGAATTATTAAGCAAATGCAAATAACAGTTAATAACAATCCTATAAGTAGCCTATGTTGAAGTGGATGAAAGGGGACCAGCATCTTGTGCAAAATATTCGTAATCTGGAATTTTTCACTTTAGCTACTAAAGTAAATTAATGTTGCATAGTAGACAGCTGTTTGAAAAAAAAAACACTTTTTAAGGGCTTACATGTATTTACCTATTTATTTTTGTATATGTAGATGGTGCTTACCCACACAGCCCACTCCAGTGGGGTTCAGCTGAAAGTCAGGAGGACAGTTACACTCATATCTCCCAGGAGTGTTAACACAAAAGCCATTCACACAGTTGATGGGATCTGCACATTCATCTACATCTGCAGGAGGAAATAGATCATATTTATATTTACCATTGCTAAGCAGGTAATAACAGCTCTCTTAAGTAAGAATGCAACCCAGAATTAGTAATGTATTGCATGAAGAAATGATGGAGATAGCCTGTGCATAAAATACGTAGAGCTTCAACTGAATCATGAAAGTGTAATACTTAGAGGTTGTTCTGCTAATCTCCTTCAAATGCTGTGAACACTTTTACACCAATGTGGCTGACAATATGTACTGACAGGAACCAGCAGTTGAAATTGTCAGAGGACCTCAACGTACACAATTAAACAATTTAAAGTGTGGAGTCATATTTTGTATCTCTTTGCACATATTATTCTTAAAGTGGCACAGAAAACTCCTATTCTTTTCATCCAAGGAGGTTGCATGTTTAGATTCTATTTAGATCTGCAGTTGGCATGATGCTGCATATTGCCCACTTATGATATCAGCCATTTGAGGCTTGAAAGTTTAGTTGAGAGTCAACAGAGGCATGCCTTGAGAATAACTGTTTTGGAAAGCCCTTAAATCAGTCACTTTAGTCCAATTTTCTGAAAAGTCCATAGACCACATCTTTACAAAGATGATGTTACTTTCCAGCATACAAAGCCCACTTTCTGAGAGTTAAACAAACTTCTTCTGCCCTCCTAGTGGCACCATCCACATTTACATACAGTATTTCCTGTGGTCACATCCTCTCTCCATTTTTCTCCATGTGATTCAGCAACTGTTGTCAGTCAGGAAGAGAATGAAATGCTTGGTATCAAAGCAATTCAGGACAAAATTCCAGTGAAAACCTTGCAAATGTGCAGTTTCTTTTCTTTATAGGTCAGTAAACTGTGTACAGGCTTCCTGGTTTCATAGTAGTTGTGATTTGACCTTAAAGGGAATCTATCACTTTGCCTTTATCCTCCCCTACTGATACTTTTCTCATGCTCCCATGCTGTCTTGTCTACCTACCAGAACCCTGAGTAGAAAGCTCTGTATGAGCTCCCACAGGGTCAAGGACCTTCCCCCCTGTCCCATGATGCAGTGCACAGACCTGTCAAATGGCTACTCAGGTGCCAAGCACTGCATCCTGAGAGGAATAGAAAAAAGATCACGAGCACTATGGGTCCCTTCCATTTAGATGTTTGGAATGTAGTACAGCTGAATCATTTGTTGAATTCTTTGCATTGTCAGTTTAGCCATCCTCTGATCTCTTTGGAGGAATGCTGCACCCACCTGGGCTGTCTTCCTTATACCCTCCCAAAAATGTACTCTTTGTTCATTACACCACCAGACAATCATCATTTACCCTTTCTTGAGAAATAGGAGTCAGATTTGGGTAAAACTTTTACATCGCACAACGGACTAACATAATCAGAGTCACCTTAAAATCCTCAATCCGTACGAGAACACAGGAAACTAACTATAAGATCCTTTCTCGGTGGTACTATACCCTTACAATTTTGAGTAAATACTTCCCGCGTACATCTGACTAATGTTGACAATGCCAGGAGGAATACAGCACATTACTTCATATTTTTTGGGCATACCCCAAACTCTCGGATTTTTGGAAAGAGGCCTAGAGGATTACACAGAAATTCACTGATTATGTAATATCTGGAGACCAAGCCTTTTTTCTCCTTCATGCCTCTAAAATACCTGCTAAAATATATGAGATCACTACTTGGCCATCTTCTCAATGCCGCTAAGTCATATATACCTCTCATTTGGAAGAGTACTCAGCCACCGTTCATTGGACTTTGGCTTAAAAAAGTGGAGGAACTGAACTTGTCTGAGACCTGATACTTTCCTCGCTACAGAAACAAGAAGTGCACTCCAAAACCTGGACCCTATGGAATATGTTCAGATACTCAGAAGAAGGTAAAACTCTTTTTGAAGTGAGTCCCATGGTATCTTAGGCAATATCTCTGTCCAACCCTGAGCCATATTATCTCCCCACTCATCCCTCCCCCCTTTTTTTCCCTCCCCATTCTTTATCTAAAGTACTATCTCACACTTCCTCCTTTTTCTCTCCATGACTATAAATGAAAACTGGGTCAAAGGAAGACACATATCCACATGTTAGCACACTGTACCTGAATTTGAGGTTCTGATATGAGGTTGCTTTTGCTTTAATGTTTACTTGCTCCCATGGTCTGTCAGTCATGACCTCTTCACATACATGTACTGTACCTATGCTAGTCTGCTTTGTAATGGAAGCACTGGTTTATTTTGCACAGTTTCCTTCACTGTCTATGTAACTGACTTTGCTAGAATCTGCCTTCTTCTTTCAAATAAAAATTTAAAAAAAGAAAAAAGGTCTCATGTGCAAACAGTAAAGTTAAAGAATGCAACAAAGGCAAGTATCAGTAAGAAGAAAATCTTATAAAGGGAACTTGTCACTTTGACTCAAACAGACAAAGTGAAGAGGTAACTTTAACCTAAGTATACCTTCCACCCTTCTTGTCACCTGTCATGTTTTTCCTTTTATGTCATGATAACTACTTTAAAGTGACAGGTTTACTTAAAGGCGATTTGTAGATTGTTTATTCATTTTAATTGTTGTCTGGAGTGTAGTTAATTTATTTTCTGGAAGTGTAGTTAATTTGTTACCTACCTGTACAGTTTCCTCCACTGCGGTCCAGCTCATACCCATCATCACAAACACACTGAAAAACATGCCAGGAAGATTCCGACAAGTGCCAAAAAACACAGATATTCTCAAAATAGCATTCATTGATATCTAGAAGGATAATTTACAACATTACTTTTACATTTGTGATACTCTTTGCAAAAGTCAGTTTTTAGACAGCACTAATAACAGTTATAGGGGTAATTTTCTGCAGATTTTCAACTCTTGCTCAAAACAACCAATCAGCTTTTTTTTTGTTCCTACTACAGATCATGGAATGTACTACAGAGTATTCATGATTTCTAAAGAGTCTAGTTATCAATGAATTTCACCCAAAATTCAGACAGCGTTCACCAAAGATTTACACATTTCTCGAATTGAATCTTATGTAAAAAATGTATGAATTTTGAGTGAAAGTTGTGTGAAAACATTGATAAATAGATGCTGAAAGTAAGAGTTTCTACAGGAATGCCTGATTACCCCCTATGGTGTGTTTGTAATACCAAAAATACCAAGGAATATATATTTTTTGGTGGGACAAACAATGCTTTGTTTTGTATTTTTGTCCACAAATTTGTATTTTCTAAGCATTGTATTTATTTATTAATAGTTTTTTGCTGTTTAGCACTTTAACACTTTTAAACAGAATGATTGCAGCAACTAGCTATTGCTGTGGTCATTCAAGCATCAGTTGCATAATTGGCTCCTCCTTGAAATTGCAGTTGTCTAACTGGCAGAGACTCCCAGCAAGGACACTTACAATAGTATGCATTTAATCCTACTGTGAAGTCCTCTAGGAAATTGTATTGTAGAAGATCCACAAAGTGTAACAGCACTGCACTAGGTTATACTCTAGGCTAGGTTTAAATTTACTTATTTCAGTATATTCCTAAATGTTTGTATTCCCATTTATTAAGGTAGAACCACACTCGGTAACACACCATGTATACATCCTATATAGCATTTGAAAATGTGCGCAACTCAGGCTTGTACATTTCTATTGGTTTTAGAACTCTTAAATTAGTTCCTTTTCATAACTGGACAAAATATTGTCCTTGTCATGAAGTAGGTCACTGTGCTACACAAAGTTGTCTAAATACAGATAATGGAGAAGTTCAATGACAAAACAATAAAAAGTGACTCTGATCATGAAAAACTACGCACTTCTTCAAAACTATCAAACAGACCTAAATGATTGTTCCTTGGATTTCAAGAGAGTCTTCTCACAGGTTGATTGTCTGCCAGCACATTCAAATAATTTCTGTTTACTCCAGCCAACCTAAACTTTAAGAGCTAGGAAGAAACAATAATGGACTTACCCTGGCAAGACTTGCTGTCTGGGGCTGGAGTGAAGCCCATCTCACACTCACATCGATACGAACTTGGGACATTCAAGCACTGGCCATTCTCACAAAGATTAATATTTTCAGCACACTCATCAATATCTGTATGGAAAAAAGAAAAGTGTAGTGACCCATTCCATTCAGTTCTTCAAAATGTATTTAATGGTGAAGGATATTATTCTTTGCTATATCTCAGCAAAATGTCAAGGTTGGTTGTTATGTTCACACTTGAAGATTTGAAACACATAATTATTCTACATCTTACTAAAGGTTGGTGTTTGCACTAGTATAAGAATGGTACAGTTGATCTAAAATGTAATTATTTTTGGTAGTATAAAGACAATTGAGAATTATGCCTGTTTTTGTGTGTGTGTTTTTTTTTCTTCTCCCTCAGAGATTGCCTTATTAACATTCTGCTAAAACATTGTGTATTAGTACTGCTTGGACCTTGAAGAAGAAGGTACATGCTGAAAGTTTGTCCTGAAAAATTGTATGTTAGTGCAAATAAAAAAAGTATCACAGACAATACTCAATTGTTTTTGGAACAAGTGCACTAATACGGCTACAATCACCTCAAGTATGATAGTATAAAGAAATCACATACTTGCACAAGAAAAGTAAGTTCATATTACATGGAAATCTTGACACATTTGTCTGAGAGCTACCCTTTAATGTGTCAAACCTATGGATGTGGTTTCTTTACGTACTTGCTAATTACTTTCTAGCAATAAATAATAGGAATATGCCTTGTGTGTATATAAAAATATCATATTTAACATGCCAATGACGCTTCAGTTTGTTCATAAAGTAGTGAATGTGACTTTCATCAAAACATTCTCTAGTGGAGAATTAATCACTGTAATTTAAAACATATTATTTACTAAAGCTGGTTCACTCAGAATCTCGTGCACTTGTGCATGGTAGCCAGTCAACTTCTAACCTCAGCTTGTTCAATTAAGCTTTAGCAATAAAACCTGGAAGCTGATTGGTTTCTATGCAGAAGTGCACAAGATTGTGAGTGAACCAGCTTTAGTAAATAAACCCCATAGACCTGAAAGATTATCTGCATATAATGTTTGCTAAATGTTAGATTCTCTTCTTTCTAAATACGTTTTTAGTTAAGCCATCTCAATATTTGCATACATCTTAGTCATGGGGAACAAATAATGCATACACTGAAAAATATATAAGACATGGAAGAAAGAAATTCCTTGCTGAACACAAATCACAAAAATTTCCTATCAAATATGTACCGTAATTTTTCTTTCCTGATGGACTCCATGGCAGCATATGTATGGGTTAGTCCTGCCCTCTCCTCTCCTATAGGACCCCAATCCCATAAATCTTTGTTCCTTGCCGGAGGCCTAGTTCCATAACTAGCCTACTCATGGCATTGGGAGGGTACTCCTGCTGCCATGGAGTCCATCAGGAAAGGAAAATTATGGTAAGTATTTGATAGGAAATTTTCCATTTTCCTGACAGACTCCATGGTAACATATGTATAGGAAATAATTAGCCATACACACATGGGTGGGCAGTTACTCAAACAAAGACTTTAATTTGCCCCATCAACTGACAGGACTTTCAAACCATAACTAGCGGGGATAAAGAGGCAAGCTCCACACAGTAATGAGCCATAAAAGTGTTGAATGAGGACCATGAGGCCGCTCTGCAGATCATTTGAGAGGCGAAATGCTGGGAAACCGCCCAGGACATAGCCACACTTTTTGTTGAGTGTGCGGTCACCGCCTCCAGAGGCATCAAGCCCTTAGCTCTGTAGGCTATTTGGATGGTCTGGACGATCCAGGCCGCGATTGACCTGGGAGACGCCCGATCTCCTTTACTCTTCCCATGGAAAAGGATGAATAGACGGTTCGACATACGGAAGGTTGCTGTGACCTGCAAGTGTAGCCTCAAGGTCTCACCTACGTCCAGGGGGTGTGAGCCTCATTGGCTCCCGAGGCTCTAAATGTTGGCAGGACAATCTCTTGGTTCTTGTGGAAGACTGAGGTCACTTTAGGATCAGAACCCAGTATAGGGATGAGGACCACTCGATCCGGGAAGAAAGTAAAACACGGTTCTTTACATCCAAGGTTCCCGATTTCAGAGACTTATTTTGCCAATGTAACCACCACCAGAAAGGCTGCCTTGATGGAGAGCTCCCTCACTATGGGTGGACCAGCTAATTCTGGAACACCTCCAGAAAAGAAGTCGAGGAAAAGTGGAAGGTCCCATTTTGGGAACCTCGGTTTCCTCTGGGGCCTCAACCTTACTGCACCTTTGAAAAGTTGCCGAACCAGAGAATGGTCGGCCCATGATACTCCAGTGAAGGTTGAGATGGCTGACACTTGAACCCTGAGGGTTCTGACTGACAGGGGCAGGTCCAGGCCTTACTGCAGGAATCACAGGACATCATGAACCCTCAGATTACTAAACGATTCGCCCACGGTTGAGATATAGTCCACGAACTTAGACCAGACTCTTCCATAGACCATGTTGGTACTTGGTCTTCTGGCACTCATCAGGGTAGGGATGGCTTCAGCAGGACAACTTAAGGCCTCCAACCTCCCCCTCTCAAGAACCAGACCATTGGATGAAGCCGGGCTGGGCAAGGGTGAAGAGTGGCATCCTGTGACAGCAGGTCTGGCTTGAGAGGGAGAGGAACTGGATTCTGAAAGCTGAGTTTCACCAGTAAGGGAAACCATGGTCTGTTCGGCCAGTAGGGAATTCCGGCCACTACCTCCACCGCTTCTGCTCTGAGCCTCCAAAACACCTGAAGATGACAGGGTCTGGGGGAAATGCATAAGCCGTGCAAAATCTCCACTGGTCTGTCAGAGCATTCACCCTGAAGGCCTAAGGACAGCGATTCCTGGTGTAGTACATCCCCAGTTTGCTGTTGCACGGGGAGGCAAACAGGTTGGCTTCCAGACTGATCTTGAGGGTCAGTATCCACTTGAAAACTTCTGTGTTGAGAGACCACTCATTGTTGTCCAATTGAACTCTGGATAGGAAGTCTGCTTGCGAGTTCTGGACTCCGGGGACGTATACTTCCGATATGTTGGACAGATTTCTCTGAGCCCAAGCTCTACCTCTTGTAAGAGGAACAGGCTGTGAGTTCTGCCTTGTCTCATTATGTAGGACACTGCCGTCGTATTGTCGGACCTCAGGAGGACTGATTTCCCCTGTGTTAGGTGCTGGAAGGCCCGTAGGGCATAGAGCGCCGTTCCTAATTCCAGGAAGTTCGACCCCAACCTGTGGGAGGGAAAGCTTCATCTTCCCTGAGCTATCTCTGACTGGCAGAGAGTACCCCATCCGGAGTTGCTGGCATCCGTAATGATTGTGACCCAGGAGATGGGGGCAATCGAGTGGCAGTTGAGCAGATTCTTCTGCTGCAGCCACCAAGGAAGGCTCTCTTTCATGGACGGAGATATGTAAATGACCTGGACCATGCTGCCTGGATTCCACTGTTGAAGAAAGCCCTTCTGGAAGGGTTTGCATTCTCCACTGTGCCCACTTCACCATCGTCACTGTGGACATCATGGTGCGAGGAAGACAGGGCAGGTAGTATTCGGCTCTGGATCATCAGAATCTTCTCCACGGGCAGGGAGATGGTGGCGCTGATCATGTCGAAATAAACCCCAAGGAATATTATAGACCGTTGGGCTCCAACTGGCTTTTCTCCATATTCAGCAGCCACTCGAACTCGAGAAGGGTCAAGATAACTTAGGCCCTGTGCTGTAGTAGCTGTTCTCTGTCCTGAGATAGTAGGAGCAAGTTGTCTAAGTAGTGGTGCAGGTGAATGCCTCTGGTTCTGATCAGGGCCACAACCTCCAACAAGACTTTTGAAAACACACGAGGCAACGTCAGAAGCCCAAAGAGGAGACACATGGACTAGAGATGCCGATGATCAACAGCAAACTGGAGGAATTTATGAAAATCTCTTGCAATGGGCACATGAATGTAGGCGTCCTTCAGATCTATCAGTCGCCTTTATTGCTAGTTGAATTGTGAACAGCAACTTCATCTTTAATTTTGACTTCCCAATAAAGGAGTTTAGATGGATGAGATCTATGACCGGCCTCCAGGCCCAATTTTTTTCTGGTCCAAAAATAGAGGTGAGTACATGCCCTGAAATTCTTCGTCCTCCGGAACCTGCACAACAGCACCCTGCGCCAGCAGAGAGTCGACGTAGGAGAGCAAGATTTCCCTCCTTTCTCTGGAGTGAGGAAGGGCTGTAGGGGTGAACTTGAGAAGAGGAGAGCTCTTGAATGCCCAAGCATGCTCTAAAGATACTGTGCTGATGGCCCAGACGTCCCGGATTGAAGCCGCCCAGGCATGCCAAAAATGTCGAAGGCATGCCCCCACCTTGCCTGCCTGAGCGGGCCCAATATCAGAGGGACTTTATGGCCTCACAATCTCCAGAAGTGGAGCCCTTGGAGGACTTCTGAAAAGATGACCAGCTTTTCCTCCAGCTTCTCTTGAATTTCGCGACCCGGCTTGTAGAGGCAAGTGTCCCTAGCTTGTTCTGAGTCTTGACTTCTGGGCTGAGCCCTCTTCTGGCCTAGCAGACACAAATCCTGAGGCAGAAAACTGGATCTCTGCCTGAAGATCGGGCTAAAGGTGCTGTCCAGTTTGTTCCCAAACAGGGAGGAGCTCTCAAAGGGTATCTTGCACCATGCCTGCTTAGAGGCTGGACCTGCCAACCAGGGCCAAAGCCACAATGCAGGATTGGCTGTCACCGAGGACAGAATAACCCAAGCCAGCAGACGGGTAAAAGTCAATCGAGGCCTCCCCCAGGAAAGCAGATGCCAACCTCAGCTGAATTCCTGGCCAATTCTTCCGGAACTCCTCTGAGTGCCGCATCCACGTTATCCAACCACACTTCCATAGCTTTAGATAAGGCCGCTAAGGCAAGCGCCAGCATGCAAGCCATCCCTACCGTAGTGAGGATTAGATTGAGATCAGAATCGATTCTCCTTTCCAGGATGTTCTTGAAGGACACCGAATCCTCGAGAGGGAGGGTAACATGCTTGGCTAGCCTCATCAAGGCCACATCCACCAAAAGGGCTGATTCGAAATGTTTGACGTACTCTGATTTGAACAGATAAAGCTTGGCTGTTTTGTTCAGCAAGGAGGCCATCTTATCGACATTGCTCCACTCCTCGGTGAAAATTTCCCTGAGTTCCTCCAGGAACGGAAATTTTGGGACATGTTTGCAAAATTTCCTGTTTTTCGGGGGAGACTCCACGGCTTCTTCCCACTTCAGGGCCTCTTTGACTGTTTTGACTAAGGGCGAGACTAAAGCAAAGTCAAAGCCCACACACAGATCCTCACTCTCCGCCTCACTGTCTGAGGCTCCAGCTGACAGGGGGCTAGGTTGTGAAGTCTCCAATCCCTCTTGGAGATTTTTGGGAGGGGAACACACCCCGACCTTTGGGCTGCGGGCGTGACTAGTCCCAATTTCCTTCAGGGACTCTTGAACGACCAGTCTGACCAAAGCCTCTACCTGTTGGTTGGCACTTTCTCTCTTGCCAGTTACCCATGCAAAACAGGAGTCACGTAATGACCTGTAGTCAGGAACCTGAGATTCGCACCCCCAGCAAGTTTTCCTACTGGAGCGAACAGAGTGCCCCTTAACATGATGCCTGGAGGAGGAATGAGAGCTTCTCCTATGATGCCTGGAGTTGGAAGGAGACCACCTGTGGCATCCAGATTTAGAGGAAGAGTGATGGCACAGAGACCTGGAAGCACCTCCGTCATTGTGTGCCATATAATGGCAATCAGACCTAGTAGGGCTGGAAAAAAAAAAGAGACACAGAGCAGGGAATGGCTAAAAGCCACAGAAAGGCACCAGTGGGGGATCAAGGGGATAAAGCCGCCCGTCCATACCTACTGCACAGGGGCTGGTCACAAGGAGGCGGTGACACATCCATGCCGGGTCAGCTGTGAAGGCAACCAAGCTGTAAAAAAAAAACATGACATGCAAAATCCCAGCAGACCACCAGCGGGGCAGGAGGGAGCAGGTACTGACCTTCACAGAGGACAAAAAAGGAACACATCCTCCGGCGAGGAGAAAAGATTTATGGGAGTGGGATCCTATAAGAGAGGAGAGGGTGGGACTAACCTATACGTATGCTGCCATTGAGTCTGTCAGGAAAGATATATCTAGTACATCTCTATAATACATGCACAATTGCCCACATGCATCCTTAGAAATGCTGCCAGTATAGAAATGCTGCAAGTATAGAAAATACCTGTAATATGTCAGAAATCCAATGTGTGCCTAACTGTTTGAGCTGACAGCAAAGTGCCTCTGTTGCACTGAAATCCTCCCATCTCTCTGAACTAGAGGACACCTGCCCTCTCCTCGTGTCCTTAACATAAGTGTTCTGTAGTTCAGTTGGAGAACACAGGCAGGACTGATAAAAGGATAGCAGTAGACGTTTGAGCACTCTGAACTTCCAATTGACCTGGTTTGAGAGTGAGCACCTTTCAAAAAATAAACTTCAAACATTTCTTGCATGAAGTTCTTAAATATATACTGTAAGTTTTTCAATAGATCTTAGTTTTCGTCTATAGTGCTGGAAGGCATAAGCCACACTTCCTGGTGATATTTCCCTCTATCAACTAAACCTATTATCAGTTTTTGATAAGAACTGCTTTTATTTGTAGGCCACACATCTTTTTGTGGATCTCCGACTGGAACATATTTAGATGGTAGCTGAGTAAGCGAAATAATCAATAATCATCAGATTCTTCTATCCATAATGCACAGGATGTACAATTGAGCAGCTGCCTTAGAGTTTACATTATGGGTATTGAGCGCTAGGCTCTTCCCTCTTGGCAGTGGTCAGGCTGGTCTGCAGCAGTTTTCCCATGAACAATCTGACCCATATGGGTGATCCAGGTAGATGCCATGACCTGCATTGTGTGCAAACAGTACTGAATACTGTCCATGATGTAACCCCTAAACAAATGAATCTTTCAGCCTGCTCAAACAATATTTCAGTGTATACTGTAACTATAAGACAGGAAAGTCAATAGCAGCCCATACCCTTGTACGCTTTTGTCCAAAACAAGCCTTGGCTGTATGTCATTTTTATGTGCAAGTATACTGTAAATGCAGTTGTATATGCGGTTGTATATCTAAACTGCAAATCAAACTGTATCCATATCTTTAAGAAAATGCTGCAGCATGCAGAAGACACAGGACAGCACTGAATTTGGGGCAGGATCAACAAGTATATTTTAACACTTATCAAACATATAACAAAACCCTTTCAATGGTGTATTAAACAGACCAAAGATGAGTAAGTTTAGCAAGTGCAAATAATGTAAATGATTAGTATTGGATATTATATACTTATATTAGTTATCTAAATCTTACCTGTACATGTAAATCCATCACCAGTGTATCCTTCAATACAGGCACATCGGTATGATCCAGGGGTGTTTAGACAGTTGGCAGAGAGGCTACATCTGTGAGTTCCATTTAAGCATTCATCAAGGTCTGTATTTAAAATATAAAATAATAAATGTATCTAAGCAACAGACTGTGCACAATGCAGCTACAATTTAGGCAGGGCATACATTATGCAATTTTCTTTTACTCAAAAATGGGCTGAAGGAAAGAAAATGGCTCAATTCCCCCATCAACATAGTCAGTGTTCGATCGATAGTTCGACTTCAGTACAACCAGCCTGCCCATAGATGGATCAAAATTCAGCCAGTTCAGCAGCAATTTGATCCATCTGTGGCCTGCTAGGGCTACACAGTGATTAAATCTCTACTAGCAAAATATTTAACTACTTGTTGCCCCTCATCACATTAGCATCACATTGATATTTAGTTGTTGTAAATGAGGATACTGCTAATGAGTAATTAAATCTTTCAGTAGCAAAGAGATTTTATTACCAGTGCAGCCCCAGTCTTACCTTTAGCAAAGGGTACCCTTTAAATTTTTAAAAACCATTAAGGCTGATTTATTGATGCTATTGCAGAGTACACTAGAACAAAGCAACAGCTGCAGGTATCAAACAAAACATTTCTTTAAAAAAGAAATATGATTGGTTGCTGTTTTCTTTGCACTTTTCTTTATGAATCTACCACGGAAATTACGGAAGTATTATGTCAAAAAAAAAACTGTGTGGGGGAGATTTTCTATACCTGGAGCATGCAAAAGCAGCTCTACATATAAACCAATCATCTTCCACGTTTCATTTGTTAAAGCTTAATTACACAAGCTGAAGTTAGAAGCTGATTGGCTGACATACACAGCAGTATCAGATTTTGAGTGCTCCAGCTTTAGTAAATCAACCCCTTTGCCATTTTCATGGTGCAGGTCTGTGAAAGCAACATTAACAGGTTTTCCATGGAACACTTTGTTCTTTGGGTCATGGGTCCATGGAATAATAATGTGTAATTAAGACTCAGTATAGGGAAACAAGGTAATGCTTACACTGATCTTGTCTTCTGAAAAAGTCATATATTAACAATGGCAATTTGTCCTCTTTCAGGAGTTCAGTTTAAAATGTAGGTGAAAAATCTAGACTTCAAATTGTACTTAAAAAGGAAACTTTCCTACTTACAGCTAAAATGTGGGACAGACCTTATAAGCAGTTGTAACTAAAAATAATATTTCTCTAGCATTACACTTCGGGCTGGTTCATACCTGAGAAATGCAGTCCGGATGCAAATGCCTATGTGCGTTTTTGACGCATTCCGGTGTGTTTTTGATGCGTTTCGGTTCATTTTTTCCCCCTCCTTTTCTTGAACTTTAATAAGAACAAGTGCATTCCGGTGTCTTTTTGGTGCGTTTTTGATGTGTTTTACTGCATTCCAGTACAGTTCAGTGCAGAAAAAATGCAGCATGTTCTACTTTTTTTCTGGAACTGGAACACACTGGAACTGGCTGCACTGGTGTGAACTATGCCATTGGAAACCATGTAACCTACTACCAATGTGTTTTTGAAGCAGAAAAAAAACGCACTGGACTGCACTGTGGTGTGAACTGGCCCCTAATCTTGGAAACTTTGTTCAAAACTCATTTAGACTCCTCCCCCTAAAAAGTGGATCGTTAGCCATCATAGAAGACTATGGGACTATTGCAGTAACCTTACATTGATAGATTAAGGTCAATGACCAGTTTAATAAATCCTGTTTGACCTAAAAAATTACAGATGCAATTTTAGATTACCAGAACTGTATTTGTGCTGCCCTTATCATCCAGTTTTAATTATTCCTTAAAGGATAAGCTTACCTTTTAACAAAAAATAATAAATGCATTTTTTTTGCAGGTAAAAAAACATGTACTTATTATTTTTTGTTTTAGAAGCCTGGAAAGCATTGTACCAGCAAACAGCAGATCACTAGTGCCATGCAGGTCTCCTGCAGACTGTCAGTGTAATCTGTCTGCCTGTACATTGTACACTGTATGACTGGTTTGGTGTCTGGTCATATAGTAACATATCATATGTTACACCCTGAATATGGATGTAACATGTTACAAAAGGTGAACTTATCCTTTAAAGTGATACAATACAAAGAGAACAGAATACTTTTTCATACAAGTACATGGTACAGCAGGCACATATCAGGAATGTGAAATGTTGGGTTTACATATTCTTGCTGTACCATGTGTGTGAAATCCCTGGTGTTCCAGCCAGTCACTCTGTTCTCCTATCAAAAACTGCATGGTCAGAGTTCTGGCTGTGCTGGGAACTCAGCCTGTTTGCCTCCAAAGACTTCCCCCACACATACTGCACAGCCATTCACTGGGAAGATCAGTGTATTGCTGTTTCTCCACCCTCACCTCTCTATGCAGCTGAGTACAGACAGTATGTGATCACTTATAAGAAAAATGGAAAAGGGTATTTATAATAGTATATATATTTTTTTATATAAGTACAAATGTTTTACCTTTCATTTCTATTTGAAAATAGATGGGTTGTTTTACAAGGTGAAGGTTTACGTATACAGTACTTCAAGTAAATACATTTTGAAATATATGTATAAATATAATTATCTCTTGGATATTTTAACAAAGTATAATCATTTATTGCTAGACTGACAGTAAACAATGCAAGAACCATCATTTCTGCTCCAAATAGATACAGGTGGTCACTGAGAACTGAGCCAGTTGTAGATGTACTAAATGAGTGGATGCTGAGCAAGTGTAAGTCTACTAGGCAAAGTAAATGTTAGTAAATAAGGTGACATTGTATTCACCTAAAATACCCAATCGAGTGCGTAAGAAATAAAAAAAACATGATTTTTCTACCACCTAATTGGTTCATTGAAGTGAATGCAAAAACTGGATTGAAGTGGATGGAAGGCACACTTTTTTTGACATGTAATGAGATAAAACGCACTGGAGAGAGCAATCATGCTCAGACTGGTGAGCAGAAAATGCCAGGCCACCAAAGAACTCAATGGTTAGACACCGTCAAATCTGGTACCAGCCAGAGCATGAAACAACATTAAAAAAGTAGTACAAGATTAAAAAAAGTGGAGAGCTGGCCCATAGGATGGTTGAAGGTCAGATACAATTGAACAGATAACATCATCATCATCATCATCATCACTGAAAAAGGCTCTTCTCCTTTAGTAAATCAACCCCTTTGTTTGTAATATATTGGCATTGTGCAAATCCTTGATATGTAACATAATAGTTAACACACAGCACTAATTGCTAATCATCAGCAACCAGGCAATTGGCATGGCATGCTGAAATATGACCCAGTTTATTGCATATTTAGGCCTTTGCAAATAAAGGACTGATTTTGTTTCTATGTGACTTGTTTAATGAGTTTTCCATGGGAAATCATGAGATTCAGCTAAGCTTTTTGTTAAAGCATGATGTGGCAATATGAAGGGCACAGAGAATACCTTCATGAGAATATAATTTATTATAGAATACTTATGCAATGACAGGATAATATGAGCATTGTTGGTGTATAATATTTCTATTCTTTGACAATATTTCTGTGGAATTTCCACAAGATTATTTGCTACACATTTTAAATGACAATGCAGTCATTCTTAGAGCAGAATAGATGTTGGTCCTAGCAAATTATGAGAATAAGAATACTAGAATGTGTTAATTGTTTGGTCTGGTTCAAGGTAACTGGCCAATCATATCTTCATATAGTGACACCTACCATTACATATAATTCCATTGCCGACCCAGCCTTCCTTACAAGAACACTTAAAGCTCCCAGGTACATTAAGACATGTCGCATGCAGGTCACAGTTGTGAGCGCCAATTTCACATTCATCCACATCTATAAATAAATCATAGTAAACAAAATGAGAGTTTAGGAAATATGAATCAAAATTAAGTATTACTAATAATTTAACTACATTTAGGGTCACAAGGATGACTAGTCTCACCTTAATTTGAGCTGCAACATGCAATAAGAGGAGCCTCCTAGCTCTATATTTGCCTAGACAGAGCCCCTTTTATATTGCTAGACAGTGCAAGGCGTCTCTGTGTTATTTCCCTAAATGAGGTGTTGCAATGGAGCTTTATCAGTCACAAACACATAAAAAGAACATTTTTCCAATGTTGTGTATTTGAAGATGTTAGGTATAATATGTGAAAAAGATTTCATACAAGTGAGAAAATTTTCAAGCTCTGGCACAGAGTGGCCGATATTTAGTGTGGTTCTTCAATATGGAGTGTTCATTTAAATCATACTTTCAATATCTTCATATGGAGAACATACAATGAGGATAGTGACATTTAAAGTTTAACAACAATTGCTAAACTATGAATGCAGGTTATGGTTTGTCTAAATGTAATTATACTGTATTTTTAATTGTATTACACATATTATATTTACCAAAAATGTAATTTTCCTACATATCCCATGTAAAGCATTGTGCAGTAAAAGCTTGGAAAATATTCATACATAAGCTGTTAGCAATCTGGGGAAGTATTTCCCGTATGTGTTTGATGCTTTTTCCAAATGTGCTTCTTGGTTGGATTTAAATTAATTACTAGTGTACTACTTGTACAGCCTTGATGATACTTCTCAGGCAATGCTTAAAAAATATTCCAGGTTTTCTTCAAAGAGTGGGAATACAAAGTATTTGCCATGTTCTGATTACATTTTTTTGGGCTCCGTTGAGCAAATGGTTTTTGACCAAACCTGATGGGTCTATGTCACATTTAGAAATGTAGGTTATAGGTATTGCGCATAACAGTTAATTTTTGGATCACCCTCAACTACTGGTCAACCTGTTGGAAAATCTTTGTGTACAGGCACCAATCATTCCCCTTGCTTTGGTCTTTACAGATGCTTTAACAAAAGACATGTTAAAGTTCAATATAACACATGTAAGTTAAATGCAACAAAGGAAACAGAGCAGGGAGTCAGATTAGATCAGGCTGTACAAGTTAAATGGAACACACCAGAACATGATGGTATGCATGGGCTTTTGATGTTGCATTGAATAAATGGATGTAGTAATACATAGATATTAGACATGCATATGTCAAATGGTATTACAGATCACATTTTTCACTTGTATAAAAGAAAAAGGAAAGGTTTTTATCATCACTGGTTCTGTTCATCTGTTTTAATGTTGATATCTGATCTTTTATCCATACTGGATATACATCTATTATATATCATACATATACCATATATAGATTTTATATATAAAACCATGCAAGCAAGGAAAAAGTTAAAAGCCCACCGCCATGCACATGCAAGCCCCTCACATCACATGACATGCCGACAGCTTCGTGTTCCCCATGCCTTCTTATCTTACTCCATGCATAAATATGGCCATGAGGACAAAAAAAGCAAAACACAGACGTCAGGTGAGAAAGTTTTTATTAGGCTTAATAAAAAACAGAAAATTATAATGACAGACTGTTTATGAAGTGTAAAGTGCAATATTCAAGACCAGATCCACATTTCTAAAAAGATATGTGCAAATCTTAAAAATTTTCCTAATTCATGGTGTACCTGTACATCCTGTTGTTCCTTTTTTTACTGAATACCCAACCTGACAGTGACATACAAATGATCCTTTGGTATTTTCACATTCACCAAACATGCAGATGTTTGGATTTATGTCACACTCATTCACATCTGAAAGAAGAGAAAATTAAGCTTTTGGTGAGCAGAATACTTTTATTAACCATCTTTCGTTATGAGACGTACCCCATATATTAGTTTTAGTAAAACTATTCACAAAACAATTCAATGTAAAAACAATAGTAGAAACCCATAATATGTGGTTATTAGTTGATTGGCATACAGTACCTAAACCTTAAAGCTAAATCCTGGGCAGATATATATATTTTTTAAATTTAATAAAGTACTCAAATGTAGTTTTAAATACAGCTAGTATAAGTAACTGAACCTTTCCCAATATTGTCCTCCTGCAATCCTTTGCATAATTACACTGGAAGAAGAAGGGACAACAGTGTAAGTCAATAAGGAAGGAAGAGTAGAGTGATGACTTCATCAGTGTGGTGAGACTTCTTTGCGCCACCCAAATGGGGTGGGTTTGTAAACAAACTGTGTCGCCTAAGTACAGTGGAGAAAAGTAAGCTCAATGACTTGACTGGGCAAAGGTGCCCAAAACGCATTGCTGACTGAACAGTATTATGACATTTTTAGCAGTTTATCCCTCCTTTAATGCTACCAATTAGATTCGAACCTGCACTAAAATCTATTTTTTAAGGGGTCTGAATCTAATTGATTTCTGTGGCAGAGTTATCAGGGGATTATTGCTTCAGGAAAAGTCCTTTCCATGTTAAAAGTTTCTAAAAAAATTTAAAAGAAAGAATAAATTAATATCTGCATTTATCAGATCAAACAATCAGATTGCAACAAAAAAAAGAGGAATCTGAAGACTTTATGGTACTCAATACACTCTTGGTGCAGAGTTGTCTTTTGTGCTCTAGATCACTAATCGGGTCTGAGGTGCAGCTGGTTTAAAATGACCCATAGGTTATGCAATTTTCTTTTCTTCCACCATGGGTGTTGTTGATGGGGGAATCCCTCCTGCAGGGCTATTGTGTTCTGCCAGCTGGAAGCCTTCCCTTCTGGAAGAACACGATAATCACTGCTGGCAGCTATAGCCGCCAGAAGTGATCGCATGAAAAAAAAGAGGCTGGTTGTATTTAAGTTGATCGATGGATTGATTTCAGTACAACCCACCTGCCTATAGATGGATCAAATTTTGGCAGGTCCCTAATAAACCAGCTGACATTTGATCCATTTATGGCAGGCTTACGTGATGACCCCAATCCAGCACTAAAAACTGAATTGATCAGCTACTGGACTACTGCTCTTGCTATGCAGCTATCAATAGGAGCATTCAGTAGCACAGCACTGTAAACACTATGTGGAACAATGCTTCTGCCTTGTCACATGAGATGTCATGACCAGGGGCGGACTGACCATTTGGAAACTCGGCACTGCCCGAGGGCCCGGGGTCAGTAGGGGGCCGCATGAGATGCCCCTGGTACCTTTTTCATAGGCTTTTTTGAGTTTGGGCAAGGACACAGGGGCCCCATGATTCCCTATTGCCCAGGGGCCCCATGAGTTGTCCGTCTGCCCCTGGTCATGACTCTCCATGCCAAAAGAAATCTCATGCAGGCCAGTTATAGATCACTATTAGAACAGATCACAGATCTGTTGCTGCAGAGAGGCATAATTTAAAAAAAAAAAAAACCTCTCCCCATTATTTCAACTTAAGAAGAAATGCATTGGGGGTTATAAAACTGCATGGTGCAATTCTGGTGCAGCTCTCTATAGAAAGCAATCAGCTTCCAGGTTTTATATCAAAACTTATTTGAACAAGCTGAAGTTAGAAGCTGATAGGCTACCATGCACAGCTGCACCAGATTCTGAGTGCACAAGTTTTAGCAAATCTCCCCCATTAGGTCTTCTGGATGGTATTTGTACCTAATACATAAGCAAGCTCAATGTCATTCTGAATTGACTTAATCCTATTTACATCATGCTTTGTGTTAATGCACACATGCTGATGTTATGCAGTACCGCCTTTAAAGTGGTACTAAAAGCAGAAGGTTTTTTTTACCTTAATTCATTCTATGCATTAAGGAAAAAAAACATTCTGTATGCAGTTCCTCCCCCCAGCTCCCCTTATATTTACCTGAGCACAATCTCGATCCAGCGATGTGCATGAGAGCATAAGTTCTCTCTGCTCTCTCCCTCCTCATTGGCTCACAGACAGCAGCGGTTCCTGCTGCTGTCAATCACAGCCAGTGAGGAGGAAGTGGGGGTGAAGCTAAGTCCCACTGTGCCAAAAGATGTGGACAGTGAGGCTCAGAAGTGAGCCCCCATGAGTGCCCCCATAGCAAACGGCTTACAAGGGGGGCACTGATCAAGGGGAGGAGCAAGCAGTGTTGGTGGGGGATCCGAAAAGAGGAGGATCGTGGCTGCTCTGTGCAAAACCACTACACAGAGCAGATTAGTATGACATGTTTGTTATTTTAAAGAAAAAAACTAAGTTTAGAATCACTTTAAGATGTGCTTCACGAAGAAAGCCTGTTCATTTTTAATGGGCTAGCTGCACACTTTGCAGCACTAAAAATCATCCTTTTTATATCTCAGTACATTGCAACATATGACACGTGAAAAATGATTCACTATCATGTGGGTGGTACTGTAAAAGTGCATTTGGGCACCATTCAAAAGGAAAGGCACCACAGCACACTCACATCAGTGTATGTTACTATGTGTTGTGGACATGAACAGTAAAATGCATGTTTTACCATGCATTACAATGTATAAATGTGAATGAGCCCTTATGGTTACTTTAATGTTTTACACAAAAAAAGGCCACATCTGGGAAATTAATTGCTGTTCAATTTGCTACTTAAATGTAATTTTAGCTCTGAAATTTCTGTACAACTGTTTCTTAGGAAAGCTACTCTAACTAGCTTGCCTGTGTTTATGAGGCCAAATTATTGCAAGGAGTTAAACATGTTTAGCATTTCTTATAAACCCACAATGATCTCATCAGCATGTGGATTACTGTAAGTCAAATGGAGTATAGGATAAACACAGTCCGTAGAGGTGACAAGATTTATTTTTCCAGCGTAAGGGTTCAAATGAAAACACTTTAATTTCAAGTGGCTGGGGATTTTTTAACCTGCTTCCAGCACATCATCCAAAAGCACATTGTATAATTTATACCATACTAAGAAACCTTTACAATGAAATTCTACCCAAGGATTTGCGTGCACAACAGTAAGTCCACTGAAGGGCCAGGAAGTCAAGCTTTACTTAATTAGAAGGAAATTAGGCTGATGACATTGATAATGGACTAATAGAAAGTATATGACTAATACATTTACAGTACTACATTCTTCTTCAATAATACATTAATCATTAATCCAGAAATACCTAGAGGTAATGTTATTTGAGACTAGGCTGTTGTAACAGCAGGGTGGAACTGCATTTCTTATTCTTTTATAAAGTATAGCATTACTTGTGTTAAATCTAACTGTATTACCTCTTACTACATATTTATTGCATCCATTTTGTATATAGCTTAGCTTGTTACTACATACAAATTATGGTTACTATTGATTTTGATTGATAAGTGATTTTTCTTTTGACGGATTGGATAATACTTAGAACCTTTCTTAGGTTTTTATTTCTAACTGTGTCACTGGTGAGGAAAGCTTCCCAGACTTTCTGCTTTTGGTGCAGAAGGAAAAAAGTAACAGGAACTTCCCCCAGTCAGGTTAGTCTCAGTTTTTACAGCTTTCATCAGAACAAAGTTTTATCCTCACTACCTGTTCCAGTGACAGCTGCCAACATTGAGATTTAAGTGTTCCTGTTGAGGGTGAATCTCCCCAATGGAGACAGACAGCACAATAAAAACCTGACCTTGGATGCTAACCTTTGCCCTCTGTATTGAAAGCTAATAAAAATGTTAGCTCTAGTTGCACTTTACGAGCTTGTTAAAGAAGAAAGGCATATGAGAGATATATGAAAGCTATTACTGACTTCTCATTTTGCCAATGCTCATCCCCTGGCTTTCATGTTGACCATCTGACTTCAATACCTTAGGACACTGACCAAGAGTAAGCATGCAGATAAGCAGTTCTGGCATTCAGATATGCTTACTTGTTCAAGGTCAGTGATTTGGAAGGAAATGAGGGTAATCTCTCCTGACTTCCATCATCCACTCACGTGCAAGCAAAAATGCTGTTTTTTAATTTTCCTTGCATGTGGTTGGGTATTCTTTGCAAAGAGAAGCTTCAACTCATTTACTAAGCTCTGGAGCAAATTCCCTTGCAAAGTGCAACTGCATTTGAAAAGTGCCCAGTCCATTTGCTTTTAGTAAATCAACCCCATAGTCAGTTATAGCTAGGCAACTGAGAAGAAGGTCACTACTGCAGCCTTTGTGTTTTTCTAAGAAAATGTTTACTTTAAAGTTATCCCTCAGCACAGTGGCTAAATGGTTAGCACTTCCACCTGGCAGTACTGGGGTCGTTGCTTCAAATCCCCAACCACAGCACCACCTGCCTGGAGTTTGAATGTTCTCCCTGTGCCTGCGTGGGTTTCCTCTGGGTACTCCTGTTTCTTCCCACACTCCAAAGGCATGCTGGTAGGTTAATTGGATCCTGTCTCAATTGGCCATAGTATGTGTATGTATGAATGTAAGTTAGGGACCTTAGATTGTACGCCCCTTGAGGATTAGGGACTGATGTGAATGTACAAAATATATATGTAAAGCGCTGTGTAAATTGACGGTGCTATATAAGTACCTAAAATAAATAAATAATTTGCAAAGGTGCCCATCAAAGCTTAAAATGCCTTGATTCTATTTTTGTTTTCAAAAAGGTGCACATTAGCAACTGATAAAAGCCCTTTTCATACAGTTTTACCATTTTATGTTTAATTTTCTCATTCAGCCCATTAGTAAAACATTATTTGGGTGAGAACACAAATAAAAAATCAATAGCAAACTTAACATGGGTCAACAGACAGCTTCCCTTTACATGCAATTCTAATGGAACCACCACCACTTTACTTATTCTGTCATTAATGTCAGGGTAAGAAACAAAAATATAATGAGCCAAGAAAGATATATCAGACAATCCACCCAGATTTGATAGAAGGGTATGATGACAAAAATGTATCACTTAAACAAGATGCCATTGAAAAATGAAGAACAAACAGTCATTAAACTCTACAAGCTAAGTGGACATATACTTATAAGAAGAGGGGACCATGATAGCAGTTTGCATGTAGGGCTGGGTTGTGTCATTATGAATTTTTTTCACCCTTAGTGTATTTTTAGAATGATTTTGGCCATGGCACTGGTGTAAGAATAATGACAGCACTGACAGTCTTTACTTACCTATGCATGTTTTCATGTCCATGCTAGCCATAAACCCATCAAAGCAGAGACAGCGGTACTCTCCTGGAATGTTTGTACACTGTCCTCCATCACAGATATCTGGATTGTCTTCACACTCATCAATATCTAGAAAAGAGTAACAAATTGTGAACTCATCCCAAGAAGTATTGGAAATATAACATACAGAAAATATACTGTGCTTTCAGCCATCCATACATAGCTATTCGTGGTAAATACAAAATATGCCTTCACTACTTCTCAATCTTATCATGCTGAAAATAAGACAATGCTCCTTCATGAACTGAACTATATTTTAATGATCAGGAATGAATATTACCATAGACAACTCATTTACAAACTAGCCTGTTATAGTCCGAAAATTCTAACAGGCAATCTTTGGCAGCCACTGCAATCTAGGGTCTACTGTGCATGTGTAGATTTAACTATCACAAGAAATTTATGTCAATTTTTCTGTTTTTGGCAAAAAGCTTTGGTCTTAAAGTGTTACTAAACCCACAACAGTAAGATCAGTCTATAATTGCAGTAAAGCATGCTTGTTATACTCACTGTGGAACCTAAGGGGTTAATGCTCAACATTGTGTAAAAAGACTGTTTGATCCTGTCTTCTCTGATCCACCCCTTCTACTGTCCCCAATCCATCTGCTAATAGTACAGAGCTCTGGAAGGCACTCTGCATATGTTCAGTTTAGTGTGTATTGCTAGAGTTTTTTTTTTTGGGAGGGTGCATGTGATCAGCACAGGGCCAATCAGCACTCTCTCGACAGATGGCCAGGGATCATGCAGCCTCATAGGACAGTCAGGGGAGAATGAAAACTCCTCCTACAAAGCTTTAACCAGTGCTTGCCCGGACACTGATAGAAGTCACAAGACTGTTCTAACTGCTGATGAGAAAAGGTATTTAGCAGTTTATATTTACTAATATAATTGAATTTCAATGCTCTGTCTACTGTGGGAGACCAGATATATTGAATGCAGGGTCCTAGGTTTAGTAACACTTTAAATACATGTAATTCCCTAATTTATTCCAGGATATAACACAATGATGAAGAGAACTGGATACATATTTTATTAATAACCATTTCTGTCAATATATACCTTTGCTCATAAAAATAATGGGATGTTTATATCTATTTCTTCAAGAAATACAGATGTGTATAATGTGGATATATATGTTTACGGTCATATTATATTAGATGACATCCAAAAGTTGAACTACATATATCTAGAATGCAGTTTAGAATAATTTGTAAAACTATAATATACAGCCCTAAATATGTACAATGAGATGTGCAATAATATGTTCAACCTAAATTTAAGATTATAGAGAACATCATGAAATGGAAATTGTGTCTTAGCATTTCCCAGAAATATCTACTATATTTTGCTTGGAATTCCTCCTGAAAAAGGTAGTGCATTTCCTAAGACCCAGCTGTTTCTGACTGCTATCTCAGAAGATTTGGCATGGGTTCTAGTGATATCACTACTGTTCTCCTAACTGTTCATCTGCTGGAGGCTCTGACATGAAGAAGCAACATGTGCAGACCATAGCATGGTAAGTCAGTAACAGGGAAAAGATCAGCTTCAGCAGGATCACAGACAGATACTGACTAGCCCTTTCCCTTTTGCCTGTTTTTGGATATTTTTAACACTTCACATAAATGTGTTGTCTATGGACAGATTTACTCAGATAGCATTAGGGATAATATTTTACACTGTACAGCATACTCCACAAAGCTATTGTTTCTTTGCAGCTAGTATATACAGTACTTCTATATATAGACTTACAATAGTATTAATTTCAAAATATTTTAAAGTCACAACCTTTTCCCCAGAAACCTAACCTAAAAATGATTGTGGTGGATTTGGCTTACCCTTCGTTATAAGTAAATGAGAGTGATGAGATCACTTTACATAAATCACACTTAGCCTGTTGTGTTTAAAGGAAGCTGTCTGCCTGCCATACTGTATAGTCAGCAAACCTTTATAATAGCCTCAGAAAGTATAACAGACTTTAATCTCAAGTCTGGCAAACCACATTACTGTGTTGTAATTCATACTCCTTCTGGCATTTGTGGAGAACTGAAAATGTACAGTTTGTTACCTAGTATATCACAGAGTCAAACAATTTTGCTATTTCATGCATCACTCATGTGTATGGAGCACCTTACAGCAATTCAGACTAAAACCATCACAGGATAAGAGATTACTGGCAGTACAGAGATATCAGTTACCTCCGCAGGTTCTTCCATCTGGCAGTAAAGCATAGCCATCAAGACAACTGCATCTATAGCTGCCTTCTGAGTTTTCACAGAGGCTGTCGCACCCTCCATTCATTATTTTACACTCGTCAATATCTGAAAAAAATAATTTAATCATTACTTGACTGTTCTTAAAGTTCTCTTAACACTTCTTTGATAACTTGAGGCAGTTGCTGCTAAACATACTTTCAGGATTTTTGGTTACAAAAAAAATAACCAAAAAACTGGAAAATGTTCAGATCCTCTTTTTTATGATAATAACAATGATAATAAGATAATAATATCTTATGTTTCCTCCAGGAACAAAATTAGGTCTATTTGTATATTGTTGTACTGTATCTTTGCTAATATCAGTCAGTGACACATAAGATGTCCTCTCCTTTACTTACCAGTGCAACCCAGCCTGTCTGGAGTGGATTGGTATCCTGGGTTACAAGCGCATTGATATGAGCCAACCAAATTCACGCACTTTCCATTTCTGCATAGATTATCACTTAAGGAACACTCGTTGATATCTGCATGGAATACAATAGGGTAATATTCTGAAATAAACACAGACTACAAAAAACAAGTTATGACTATTTCAGTTTGCCATTTTTGTAATTCATGATAGTACATTGCAAAAATACTTGGCAGTACATCATTTTTAAAGATGTTGAAAATAGATTAAAGCAGCCCATAGATTATGCAATTTCTACGGGCGAAAGGAAGGAAAATTGCTTGATTCCCCCATCAGCACAGTCAGTGTTGATGATGGAATCCCTCCCACAGCACTGGGCTAACTTTCCATTGGGGTGCAACCTATATGCTAGAGATGGTTTGCACCTAAAATGGAAGGGGATCGGCTGTGCTCGGGGAGAGGTTTATGGATCGGCCGGAGGAGTATTTAAACTAGGATTAAGGGGGGAGGGAGAATTAGATTATAATGGGGCAGACAGATCAGCAAGGGATCAGTTCTTATTGGTGGGTGGAATGGGGAAAGATGGGGGGAGGGCTATGGCAGGTGATAAGAAGGTTCCCATGTTACAAACAACCATTGGAATTGGTACCATTTGTATGAGAATAAAAAAACATGCAATATACGTGTGCAAAAGGTGTCAATGTAGTGTTTGTTCTCCAATGCCAGAAGTTTGCCAAGCAAAATAGGTGAGCTTGAAGTTTTGGTGCATGAAGAGAACTATGATTTAATTGGTTATGCTGAATCTTGGGTTCATTCGTCACATGACTGGGCCATTAATATTCCTGGCTATGTTCCCTTTTGGAAAGACAAGGTAAAAAGGAAAGGTGGTGGTGTCTGTCTCTATGTGAGAAGTGATCTCAAAGCGAGTGACAAAGAGGACCTAGTTGATGGAGATTGTGATGAGGCTGAAGCATTATGGGTGGAACTGCACATGGGTTTGCGTACTACAAAGGTAATTGTTGGAGTTTGTTATAGGCCACCCAGTGTTAATGAGCAGGGGGAGATTCAGCTCATTGCACAGATAAAAAAGGGCTGCAAGGGCTGGGACAGTGATAATAATGGGGGATTTTAATTGCCCAGAAATTGAATGGAGTAATGGCACTGCAGGAACAGTTAAAGGGCAAACATTTATAAACCTACTACAGGACAATTTTACATTTCAGTTCATAGAGACCCCAATTAGGAATGATGCTCTGCTGGATCTGGTAATCTCAAACCATGCAGAGCTTATTACTAATATCCATATAAAAGAACATCTGCGTAGCAGTGACCATAACATGATTTCCTTTATTGTTAGCTGTAATCAACAATAAACATACGGGAAAAATAAAAAACACTCAACTTTAAGAAAGCTAATTTTCCAAGGCTGAGAGCTGCTCTACAAGACTTAGACTGGGAGGGAATATTGGCATAGATGAACACAACACAGAAATTGGAGTTCTTCAAAAAGACTGTATGTGAACATACTGCAAAATATATTCCCATGAGCAAGTTTAAAAATTAAATGTGGCTTACGGACAAAGTTAAAAACCCCCCCAAATTTTTTCAGATATATTAATAGTAAAAAAGGTCAGGTCCGAGCATATAGGCCCTTTACAAAATTATCTAGAGTGGGTGACTGGGGACAAAGAGAAGGCAAATTTATTAAATTCCTTCTTCAGCTCTGTGTATACAAAGGAGTACGGGGGAGCTCTTGCTCATAATGGCCATGATATTGACACAACCCCAGCTGATCCACATTGGCTCACAGTTGATATGATCCAGAAATATTTAGACAGAATAAAGGTGAATAAAGCACCTGGACCAGGTGGCATACACTCATGGGTCCTTAAAGAATTGAGCACTGTAATTTCAAAGCCATTGTTTCTAATTTTTATTGACTCTGTAATGACTGGCATAGCACCACTGGATTGGCGTAAGGCCAATGTGGTGCCTATATTTAAAAAGGGATCAAAATCTTTACCAAGTAATTATAGACCTGTTAATTTAACTATTGTAGTTGGGAAGATACTGGAGAGTTTAATAAAAGACCACATGGCTGAGTTCTTGCTTGAAAAAAATATTTTATGCAACAGACAGCATGGATTCATGAAAGACAGAAGTTGTCAAACAAATCTGAATTCTTTTTATGAGGAGGTGAGCAAAACCTTGGATAGAGGGGTGGCGGTGGACATGGTATACTTGGATTTTGCAAAAGAGTTTGACACAGTTCCCCACACATGGCTAATGTGTAAGGTAAAGTCTACAGGCTAGGAAAAATCTGTATGTAAATGGATAGAAAACTGGCTAAAAGATCGTATTTAGAGAGTAGTGGTTAATGAGTCATACTCTGAATGGCCTAGGGCTGTTAGTGGTGTACCTCAAGGTTCAGTGTTGGGACCCTTAATTTTTTAAAATTGTTATAGGTTCTGCTATTAAAAATCCCATTTCAGTCTTTGCAGATGATACCAAGCTATGCAGTGGAATAATGTCCTTACAGGATGTCTCCAATTTACAAGCCGACCTCAATGCATTGTTTAATTGGGCAACTATGTGGAAAATGAGGTTTAATGCTGATAAATGTAAGGTTCTGCACTTGGGGGCTAAGAATATGCATGCATCATACATACTTTGGTGAGTACTACTGGGGGAATCAATGGTGGGGAAGGATCTAGGAGTTCTGGTAGATCACAAGCTTAATACTGGGATGCAATGTCATGCTGCAGTTTCTAAAGTTAGCAAAATCCTCTCTTGTATTAAAAGAGGTATAGACTCCAGAGAGAGAGATATTATTTTACCCCTGTACAAATCATTAGTAAGATTTGTACATTAATCATTAGACCTCATCTGGAATATGCAGTTCAATTTTGGGCACCAATTCACAAAAAGAATATTGGGGAAGGGCAACAAAACTGATAAGAGGCATGGAGGAGCTCAGCTATAAGGAAAGATTAAAGGAATGTAATTTATTCTCTCTTGAGAAGAGGGGATTAAGGGGGGATATGATCAACATGTATAAATACATCAGTGGTTTATATAGTGAAATCGTTGTAGAGTTATTCATCCTGAGGTAATCACAGAGGACAAGGGGTGCTCTTTGTGTCTGGAGGAAAAGAGATTTAATCTCCAAATATGGAAAGGTTTCTTCACAGTAAGAGCTGTTAAAATGTGGAATAGACTCCCTCAAGAGTTGGTTCTGGCCAGCTCAGTAGATTGCTTTAAAAAAGGCCTGGATTCTTTCCTAGATACACATAATATAACTGGATACTAACATCTCTAGGTAAAGTTGATTATTCGATTGTTCGATTGCCTCTCGGGGGATCAGGAAGTAATTTTTTTCCCTTTCAGGAGCAAATTGCATCATGCTTTGCTGTTTATTTTGCCTTCCTGTGGCTCAACTGTGGGTATAGGATTATAACTTTTTTTTTTATGGTTGAACTAGATGGAATTTTGTCTTTTTTCAGCTAGACTAACTTTGTAACTATTGTGTACTGCTGGCAGGGATCCTTCCCTGTTGGTAGAACAAAATGATCACTGCTGGTGGCTATAGCCACTGGCAGTAAACGCATGCTGAAAACCTGATTGGCTTGTTGTACTGAAGTCTATGGATAGATCAACTTCAGTACAACCATCCTGCCCAAACATGGATCGATTCTCCATCTATGACTGGCTTATCTTTGCTGATTTTTAAAGGGACATCTTTTACCACTTTCCCTGATATTTATAAAGCTGCTTTTTATAGAGCTGTGCAGTTGGAAAATGATAAAGTGCTTTTGATAGCAGCAAACGTAAATAATGCAATTCTCAAAAAGCTGAAAAAGACCTGTGTCAGATTATACATCAGCAAAAAATAAGTTATTTTCAGTCTGACATCATTCATTGTTAATAGATTTGTCAAATGGGGCAATTATGGTAAGAGGCAGCCGAGTAAAAAAGCTTTTTTCTCAACACTGACATAGTTTTTTTTCTGTTTTTTAACAGAATGCATTTTGTTATCTGTAAAGCACAAACAAACTCAATGTGTCTTGTTATATGTCATATGGAACAGTTTTAGTCATGACGTGAACTCACCTACACAGGCATCCCCTGATGGCGTGAGCTCATGCCCAGGGGGACAGTTGCACAGAAAACTACCCTCTGTGTTCACACATTCCCCTCCTCTGCATAGCAGCGGGTTCCGTTCACATTCATCTATGTCTGTAAGGAAACAATGCAAACAGTTAAACAAACCAAGCATTTTATCTTAATCATTTTAGTATTAAAAAGGCTGTCAGGCTAGCAAAGCAAATATGTTATTGGAATATAACATAGCAACAGTGTTTTTTTCACCAAAGCATCAGAACCTTGTACTTAACATCAATAGTACAGTAGGTACCTTTGTAGGATTCTTTGGAAAAATTCTTTGGAAAAACTCATTGTAATTAAGAAAAGAGGTATTGTAGAAATACCAGTTGAAAGACTGACTAGACACATATGATGTATAGCAGTGAGCACATGTTTATATTTTGGGTTTGTGTTTTATGTTGGTTACAGCTTCTAAAAAAAGGGTTTGTTTTATGGCAGTTTATCCTAATGCTGCTTACATTTTTGCCATGCAGGGGATAGACATAAACTTTTTTTACTTAAAGTCTGAGCTGGAATCCCTGTTGCTAAGATATTGTTTCTATTTTCAGTGTTGTTTAAAACATAATTTTGTCTACCCAGATATCATTGGAACTGTAAGCTCTGGATGCAGAGGTAGTAAGGATTCAGCATGGGATATTTTCATCACTGATAAGGTAGGTATCCGGTCTTAGATCATTTTAGGGGCTAGTTTTGGGATAAAGTGTGTACATAGCTGAAACTTTACTTCCCTACTCTATCTAAAATGCTTCTTGGATAGAGTAGGGAAGGGTGAAATCCCTGTAAGTTTATTTTTATTGTCTGTGTCCTGTTAGGTAGATATCTCCTTACTTCCTGTTCCAGAGGGACAAAAGCTCTAGAAAGTGAGGGAATCCTTTTCTGAGATCAGTGAGTGTCACTGGACCAGATATTCCTATTGGTTACTCTGGTAACAAATGTAAAATTGTAGATTCACCAACACTTTCTGATTCGGTGGTTCAGTGGTTTTATGTAAGGTCAGCATTAAGGTGACTATAGACATGAAATAAATATCCAGCCAGTCTAGAGAAGGATCCTTATTTATCTTGAAGAAACTAGAAATTAGCCAACCTGAATAACTTCAGATGCTTCATATCTTTGTGCTTAAAAACATAATTCTTTTCTGGATTTTAATTGTTTTTAATGCATTATAGATACAACATGTAGAGTTATGTTGCATTTTCCGTTACATCTAAAGATAGGTTACGCACAAAGTGTATAGATGATACATTTAAAATAATTGTTGGTTCTCTATCAGAAGAGTATAAGTAAGATTAAAAGAGTATAAGAGTAAAAGTAGGATAGCATATCTAAATATGGGAAGGGCATATATTGAAAATAGTGCTCAGCCTAAAGTATATACACTGTCACCAATCAATGCCATGCAAACAATGATGGACCAAAAGTGACTGATCAAACTAATGACATTACATAGATATATTAACAGAGAGATTCTGTGGTAACATTAGGTATGAGTCTACTCCAAAGGTTATATTATATTATTTAGTTTGGATAGTGTTAAACAAGCCAATGTTGTAAAACCTGAAGTTTACAAAATAGAACAAAATGCATAGAATCTGGGCAGAAAGGTCAACATTTCAATAGTGACAAAAATACAACAATCAACAAAAATGCAATCTTGACCAAAAACCAACAAACAACAGAATTCAACACATGGTTCACAGATATTAAAAATTACTTCAAGCTAAACTTGTCCATCACAAAAGTCTTCAAGCATGCTGGTTTCTCACTCTACTCAATCTATCAGATATGCAGATGCAGAGGGCCTTCACCATCCTGTTGGCATTGCCTACTATGAGATGACCAGAGTTCTAGGATGACACACTCAGTGAGCTTGATGAGGCAAACTTGGGGATTGCATCAACAGGCAAGAGAGTACAGATGCTTCATAACTATGTGAAATGGGAGTTTGCCCACCATCCCATTTCATTCAGAATACAGAACAGTAGCCTGCAACCCCATTGTCAAATTCCATTTTGCACACTGTGCAACTGAATTTCACTCCATTCTTGCTTCCTCCCGGGGGGACCAAATCAGTCCTACATTTTTTTTGTGTGTTTTTCTCTCTCTCCTCCTCTGAAAAAAATCTATGCTGCATTTTTGAGTGTGCTGAGCTTCAATTTTACATTCAAATCATCTCAAATGGAGTCTTTCAAAAATTCAACACATCTCAAGCACATCAATAAAAAGCACACCAGTGCACATCAATAAAACTTGTTAACGTATGTGTTCTGCCATGAACAAGCCACAAAGTAGTACTATTTAAATTGGGTTAAATGTTCTACATATCAGAGTTCTACAAAGCCATTAGGACGGCCTATTCCCTAGAGCTGGACGATTGAAAAGGAACTATTAAACATAAATTTTTTTTTAGTTCAAACTATTATTTTGTATAAAAAAGAAAAATGCACACAGAAAACTATAAACTTAAGCAGGTGAATAAAAATGCTGAACTTACCCATACAGTTCTTCATCATCATGAAGCCACTTTCAAAGCCTTCAAAGCACTCACATTCAAAACTGCCAGGTGTATTGACGCACGTACCACTCCCACACAAATCAGGGGAAATCCTACACTCATCAATGTCTGAAAATAAAATTTATACATAATTTATCAGACATGAATGATTTGTATGTAATAAGGAAGGTAACGAAGGACTGAGTTGATAATACTTGAGCAATTAAAGAGCATGTTAACCTAAAATGCAAAAATATCACTAGGTACACAGGATTGAAAAGAAAAATTGGACAAACAAAATTTTTTTCTCCACAAGATAACTAAATGAGCGCTTTTCATGTAATTAGTATATATTTTTACTAAAAAAAAAAAATGAGTGACCAAGACCTCACCTGCTCAGAAAGAAAATAACACATTACAATATAATACATTACATTACCATCACTTCTGAAGTTGTATTCTGTCTAAAGAGAATTTTTGTAATGTTAGTAACCTATTTGTTTTCGATATGAGACTAGCATGCAAAAAAAAACTATTCTCATCGTGAATACGAGGCTTTATAGGTGGGCACTGTCATGTTATCGTAAAGAAAGGCTGAAGATTTACTAGCTGACCTTTAGCATATAGTTTTACTGTTTGGAACGTTTTAGTTAACCTTCCAATATTTTTTTAAGTTTATTTTTTAAGATTAAGGCCTCATATCAGTGTCAGTTTTCATGTGTTTGGATTGCATGTCAAAATCAGGTCTGAAAAATCCTATAGTGCAGTTCACATGGTAGTTCAGAGGCTGCATTTGACCTGCTTTGCATTGCACTGTATTTCTGTGGATGTCCTATTGAGATGCATTTGAACTGCATGCAAAGCAGGTCAGACAAGGCTTCTTGTCAAACACCTCAATTGAATACATGCATTATGAAGCGATTGACATAAATACCCATCAACATGAACCCTGACAAAGATTTCACTGATGTTGGGATTTGGTCAGCTGAGCTATGTGTATGTTAGGCTGAAAAGCAATCGATAAATTCATATGTTTCTCACTATAGCAAGGTTTGGCAAGAACACATGGAAAAACAAAAGAAATGACACATATAAATGTATGTACATTCACTCCTACCTGTGCAATTTCTTTCTTCTGCATCCAGTGCAAATCCATTGTTGCATTTGCACTTAAAACTTCCAATTGTATTTCTGCATTTTCCATTAGTACATATCCCAGAGAATGCTTTACATTCATTTATATCTATGAGGAAATTGAAATATGTTATTCTGTGATAGGAACAAGTGACGTGACAAATACCATGTGTACAGATAAGTACTCCTGACTTTTCTCTGACTTTCCTGACATGCAGTTTTGTTTTGGGTTAGTGGCTCAACATGTGTTAGGCTCCTTTGAGACCCATGCATTGTGGAAATATTCAGTGCAAAGCATGTTTTTCTGCATATTTCCACAACACATCCACATGCATCTGGAACATCGCACATGTCATGCATTGTGTTGTCCTGCATTAAATGTAACAAGCTTTAGACCCTGTTTTTCTTTCATTGCTATGTGTTGGCATACAGAAGCCTCATGCGGCTTTATGTACACGTGGGTAAAACAGACATCCATTGAGACATCCATCCCATTCAGCTCCCATTAAGAATGGGTTCTGCACAAATATCGCCTGCTGAGTGGAGCAGACTCAGCTTTGTGTGAAAGGAGCCTTACAGTAAGGGTAAAAGACACAACTTGATGTCATCATTAGGTTGCACAGGTTGCACCTGCAATGATATTTAATACAAAAGTACAGGCAAACAAAAACTTTTATGGTGGTGTACCATAAACTTTAAATAGTGAAAAATGTTAAAAATAAAATTACACATTTTTTGCAGCACAGAAGCATGAGCAGAAAATGGTGTACCTTGCTAGGTTCCAAAAGAGAGATTACATCCAAAATGCTGTTTTTTTTTTTAAACTGGACCAAACTTAATATGTACTGTTAAGTAAAAGCTGTAGAAGTTCTCCTCTTCATTTCTTGGTGGATTAGTAGGCTCAGATGTTATCTATAACTCTAGGTTTCATTACTTGTCTGTGTGGTAATGGAGCCCCTGTTAGACTGGTAGGGGACAAGATATTTTTACCCTTTTTAAAATTGCTTAGATAATATTATAATCTTAATCTGAAGTATGCTTCAGAATATTCTTTTGGAATTCTTGAGCTCAGCTTGGATTTGCCACATGAATTTACATTTTCTAGAAATAATTCTTTGATGGAGAAATCTTACCTCCCTGTGTTTACTTATCTGTTTCTCCATATTCAAAAAGTGGAAGAGATTAAAATTCTACAAAAATATTAGTTAGATAGTTAATTAAAAAGAAATATATATCAGTGGCTTGGTGGTTTACCTTTATAGAAGGGTCTCCCTGATAGAAAATCTCCTCTGTTGGTAAATCCTGGACCTCTAGGACATAAAATTTCATGTTCAGGGGTACCAGATTTAGGGCACTCCCCACACTCTGCACCCCAGGCAGCTCCTACAGTACAGCAGCATGCATCGAGCCGGAATCTGCCAGGAACTGGCTGAACACATTCATCTTCATCCCATTTTAGAAAACACTGCTCCATACGTAGATCTGGAAGTAAATGTAATAACATAAACCATTTATATATTTTCCTTAAAAACTGATCATGTTGATCTATGTACAGTCAGAGTTGAACACACATACAAAATACTGTAACTGATTTTGAACAGGAATAAATGTTATGAAGGCATTGGTAATACCAGCCATATTTGACTTCTTTTATAAATGTAACAACTGACTGGCCATCATAACCAAATGCCTTGTTTTCTAATGGTTGCTGTTTTATCTCTAACCCTACTGTATAAAGACATATGATAAATGACTAAATAAATCAGTATGTGAAAAAATTAACACAAATCTCTGTCAGTTTCCAATTCTGTAAGGGAGCCCATTGGGAGCTATTACCTCACTACCTGTCCTAGTGACAGTAGTGGTTGTCAATGGGACAAGGGACAGGGTGAGATTTACTAAATACTGGAGCACTCAGAATCTGGTGCATGGCAGCCAATCAACTTCTAACTTCAGCTTGCTCAATTAAGCTTTTGACAACCTGGAAGCTGATTGGTTTCTATGCAGACTTGCACCAGATTTTGCACTCTCCAGTTTACGTAAATAACCCCCACAGACTCTGAAACAGGTTGTAACCCTTCCCCATCACTTCATATCAAGCCAGGAAGTTAGGGAAAATATCCTCAATGGGAATAGAGGCTGCAAATATAAACCTGACAAATATTCTATCTCTTTCCCACTCTGTCCAAAACAAACAAAAAAATCATTGGAAGCTGGTATTTAAATGCATTTATGATTGATATTGATTACATATCTGCAAAAAAAGGAAATAAATGTTTACCTAGGCAGATTCTGCCTGTACCATCCAATGTGAACCCTTCAGGACACTCGCAGATGAACGATCCTTTAGTATTTCGGCAAAGTCCATTGGGGCACACGCCTGGAAACACCTCACACTCATTGACATCTAAAGAACAAAGCATACAAATTGAACTGAATGTCAGTTTTGCCAGGCATTTTATTTTCACCTTACAGTTGAGTTTACTAGAGGGCCTCTTGCCACACATTGTTAAGTCAAAAAATGCTAAGCAAAACTGTATTTGATCGCAAAATAATTTTGGCAGGCCTAATGTAAAGCTTCGTATCTACCGCTAATTAAACAGAGCTCATCAAATTCAGTCATTAATTTTGCATATAAGAATCTCTATGTATTTGTAATTCATAACTAAGTTCTTATGAACATTAAAATTTTAGGACTTTAAGCATCATTTTTAGTTCACACAGTCAAAAAGTCAATGTGCTGGGCTGCTGGAATAGCAGATGTCCTTAAAGTATATTTAACACTTATTCACTGTTTCAATGGAGGAGCAGTGCTGTTATCATAAGCTGCTCACTCCTGATTTGGACTACAGAACATCCCATTTTCATAACATGAGGGTGGAGGTGTTCTTTAGCTCATAAAGGTGAACTGGACTCAGCTGATTACACTGTTTTGGGTTTCAGTGCAGCAGAGGCAGAGTGTACAGGAAGTTACGAGCTTGCTGTTTTTTAGAGAATAAATAGAATTTACTTTTCACTTTTCAAACAGATATAACAAAAATAATTCAACTGTATACTTAATAGACCAAAAGGTTGCAAAGAGAAGTGTTATGCTAGAATTTACATATACTTCTCTGTCATATTAGTCCATTTGTAAATGCTATGTAAACATGTAAATATTAATAAATTGCACAAAACTTCTTAGAAAAATTACCTTCACAAGAAACACCTTTCACTCTGGCATATCCCCTAGGACAAGCCGTATCTACAATAAAGAATAAAACAGTTTAGATCACATTGCCATTGCATGTAACTGTACTTTTCTGAAATTCAAAGCCAGAGGTTGGCAATTGTTGTTGTTTGAGATTTATTATAGCTGATGGCACCATGAAAAAGACACAAAATTTTGTGAAAATATATAATTTATTATGATTAAATATCTAATGGCATCTATATTATTTATATCAATATTGCATTTTAACTATTAGCAGTTTAATACTAGGGCAGTGATTGATAACGTACCAATTTCACATCTTTCACAAGGACTGCCCCATGCAGCGCCTAGCGTAGCACAGCATTCTGACTTGAGTGTTGCTCCATTAATATTGACCTCACAGCGACCATCTTGGATATTGAGCCAGCAGGTTCCTTTAAGGCTATCTATGAATTAAAAATGCATACCTTACATTTGGCATAAAACTGTGACAAATGTATAGCTAATTTACATGGATTGCTCTCATTTTAGCTTTTCCTGATATTTAGAATGACATCTTAATGCACGGGGACGGCCATTCAGTGCTAAGACTGTTCCATACACCTATATAAAGGTACCACGTGACTATCAAGGATTTTTCAAGTGCAATAGTGCAGATCCACTATTTATACCACCTGGTAGATAATTATTGTCTGAACTGGCGGGATATCACCTTATGGACCGTAAGGGAATTAACTCTAAAATACAATTCTAGATCCCCTTGGGGGGGTTAAGGCTGAAGTGGATGCTCATCTTCTAGCACCATATGCATGATGATGTACATGCTGCCGTACTGTGTCTAAAATTTGATGCAACTATGAGCCACTGCTGTACCGAGGACGATGGTGAATGCTTATGTAGTGGGACACTTTTCCATGATCCATGCATGACTTAATATACCGTATATTGAACTTATCAGATCTTCATGAGGGTTAACCGATGAAGAGGTGGTCCATTCTCTCTGCATTCAACTTACTGACGGCACACATACCGACACAGGATAGATGTGTGTGGACATTCATATCGCCATAACTGATACATATTGCTACCTATGAGCTAATTGCTCTATGCAGCAAATCTGGAACAGTTGATATGGTAGGTGGGGATCCCCTTCACTGATCTGAGTGCCATATTATTTCACAGCCCTATCCATGGACTTGGATAAATTTCTTGTCTCATTATATTACAACCAAGTTGACATATCCAATATTCCTCATTTTCAAGCATAGAATTCCATCCTTGATTCATGGACCTGTCATCTCATCCCTATAGTCATCCTTCTAGAGGGATCTATTTAATGTATCATTACCATTCATGCACCCACCTGATACTGTGTATGGGCCACGGGGTGTATATGTGTATGCATATAGAACTTGTGGAGCTGTAATTTATATCAACAATTGATAGCCTCATTATACCCAATTCGGGTCGGGCTTCCAAAAAATTATATACATATACTATATTTGATGTCCGGATGTCCTTAATTGACATTGGTTTTAATTGTGTCTTGTGGCGTGGTACCTTAATATGGTTACACAGCAAATGATTTGCTAAAATTTAATAAATACAATTTTAATTCACTAAAGTCTGATACAAGCCTTGTTTGCTGTCCAATTAACCACTTGTCTCATGGGATGGCCTATACCCACTCATGCAATATTTTTAGTTTTTGCTAGGTTAGGAGTAAAGGTGAAATCCCTTTGCCAACAGTGGGATATTGTGCTTATTTCCTGTTATATTGTAAGGACAGTAAGCAAGGGAAAATCTCCCAAGTGAGAACACAGATATTAATAAAAACCTAATTAAAAACTTTCATCACTCTATCCAAATTTGAAAAAAAAAATGCTTTGGCTTGAAATTCATGCATACAATTAAGTTTGAGGTTAACCGAAGGCAAAGATATTTAGGATTGCTATGTATTTATTTTTTAATTGGCAGATTGGATGAAACTCAGCAGAATCATTTCATCATTATGCAAACTGAAGCTGAGGATAAAACCTGAAAACATGAGTTCCTGAATATTATGAAGGCTATAGGGTTGATTAACTAAAGTCAAATAGGCTGTACAGTTTAACTTTGCAAAGACATTTTCCCAAGAGCTTAGTGAATGTGGTAAAATATCACTTTGCAAAGAATACTCAATTATGCAGAGATAAAAAAAAAAACATTTTTGTTTACACATGATTGGATGATGCAAGTCAGCAGAGCTTCCTCTCGTTCACTGAGGTCTGGGGAAAACACATTTGTAAAGTGCAACTTCCCTTGCAAAGTGACGTCTTTTTGCCTTTAATAAATCAACCCTTGTGTCTAAAGATAAAATGGAGCTTCCAATGGGACCAATTAAGTGTAAATATGCTCATGGTAGTATAACATTTCTGGAATAAACAGAAATACCCACCTATGCAAATAAGACCAGTAGAATCCAGTTTACTTCCAGGAGAGCACTCGCAGTGAAATGAGCCAAGAATATTCTTACATGCACCATTAACACATGGACTACTTTCACATTCATTTACATCTGGAAAATAACCAGAATACATTTGGTTAGGTCTTAATTAAGTAAGAAAGGAAATGCTATGGATAAACTGAAATATGCAGACAGTTCCGCTAAGGTTTCTGTCACAAAGTACTTTCAAGTTGTTTTAAATCAAGCTTTGTAATAATGGCGTGTTAAGTATGAAGACTCGCATTTCTTATTTTGTCAAGCCATTAAAACTGTTGTTCGTGTTGTTGATTTCCCGTCTTTATTAAATTTTTGAATATGGAACGGTAAAATGCTAGTAAAAGGCTAATATTTTCAAGTTTTAAAAGGCTAATATTTTCAAGTTTTAAAATCTCTGCTAAGCAGAGAAAGCCTGTGATTCTCCAGCAATATACAATTTATAGCTTCAGCAAATCACAAAGAAAATTCATAACATTACATTACCCATAGTTTGCCTTAGCCAGATTCACAGTCCAATGTCCAACACCAAGAAAAAAGTCTATGTCCACCATTTACTTTACTTTTATCCTGGTAAAAGAACTGTTTTCCTGGCTTACATCTGATCAGGCAAGACATTTTGAGGAGGGGGAGTGTACAAATCTGGTTGTAATTTGTTTCAGTAATCCATGTAAACCAATGAAGTTTAAGTTTACTACAATTAAATTAGTAAACACATTAAATCTTATTGAGTGCTATGAGTTAATTTTCACATTGTTGCTGCCTTTTACATTGCCCTATTAAAAGCCCAGAACTGTTGCTTTTTACAGAAAGGGCTGAAATTGTGTTTTGTGGCTAATTTTAGCACTCTATTTATTAGCCACTCATTTAAATTCTTTATTTAAATTCTATTATATACCTCAGTTTTAGAATTACTCAAAGATTTAGCAGTCCCCTGATCTTAACACTTATATGCATATGAGTTTGTTGGATATTCCATTCCAAAGCCATGAGCAGTATATGGAATTGGCACCCCCTTTATGGCTAAAACAGCCTCCACTCTCCCCTGGAAATGGCTATTGGACAGTGCCTGTAGGAGTATGTATGACTTGCAGTTGCTGTTCTAATTCATCCCAATGGAGTCTATTAGGGTGGATGTCAGGGCTCTCTGCAGACCACTCAAGTGTGCAGACCACTCACACCACAATTGTAAAACCAAGTCTTTACAGATCTAGCTTTGTGAACATGGACATGGTCATGCTACACAAAAAGAACCTTCCCCAAACCATTACCATAGAAAAAAGGCACAGTTATCTACAGTTTGTATGATGTAGAATTAAGAGAAGCCTTCCCTGGAAATAGCTAACCTCAAAAATTGGGATGGAGAGGTGTCTACATACTTATGACCATATACTGTAATTGCAGGTGAGAAGCTTATGTGTGTATAAACTTTTGGCTATCTAATGTAAGTGCTTTTAGGGTTTATATATTTAAGATCTAAGATATCTAAATGGAACACTACATATTATTGATAATAATATACTGAGTCTTGACATAATATTTACGGATGGGCATTGCCTGCTTCATTCAGACTCAGAACAATTTATCTGGTAACAATAAATGACTTTCATTCATATTCAACAATATGGATATAGAAGATTCTTCTTAATGAAATGCTAATGAAACTGGCATATACTTTTTCTTGAGTTTGTTCTTCATAACTCCTACGAAGGTAACTGTCACAGGTTTACTTTTTTTAACCACATCTCTTTTAAAACACACATACTAAGAGAGTCACTCCCAGTGTTGCTCCACCTGAAAATTATGCAGTTAAGCACTTTTCTTTGAAAGTAGTAAAGTATTAGAAAAGTAGTAAGCTAGATGGACTTACAGTATGTCTTTTTAACATAACTGTAATTATTTAGTGGGTTACTATACAATATGAAGAAATTACCTTCGCAAGTTTCAGTGTCAGTTCTGAATAAGTACCCTTTAGGACATGTGCAGCTGTAACTTCCTGGTGTGTTTCGGCACAGACCATTGTCACATAGCAGTCTGTTTACCAAACATTCATCAATGTCTGAAAAATAAAGAAGGATGTGTCCATTTTAATTTTACTTTTATGTTTTTTTTTATTCTAAATAAAAGTGACAACAGAGTTTTGTTGATACAGCCATGTTGGCACTCTTTGCTCCCTGTAAGCCATCTGTCTTATGCCACCCCACCCCAGAGCATAAACACAACACCTTACCTGTTCATTTATTGTCTTCAGCAATTAAAGTCTTTGCATCAACAACATAAATGAAATAAAGATCCCCTATGTGGTTGCTTCTACCTTAATTACCTTAATTATAAAGGAATACATCAATACTCAGCACATATGAAAACTTTATTCTATGATCCAAAATAATTAAAAACAATTGCTTCCCACCAAGTCCTTAATGGGTCTAAGCTAAAGTCCTATAGGAAATGTTAGCCCCTCCCCCATTCAATTTGACAGGGGTCTGCAAACCTGATACAAATTCACTGGATTTACTGCTGGCCACAATTGGCATGTGCCTATGGGCTATAGCAGATGCAAAGAAGTAGTGTTTATCTATTTAATTATTGTCCAAATTTTTGTCGTTGCCATTACAATTATTTTCTCATACTGTAAGATTATTTACACAGCATCACAATATTCTGAGCCAGGTTAGGACCAGGAAAACAAGTAAATATGCTGTGAGATATAGCTGTTGCTAGCACAGTGGTGTTACTAAGGTCAGGAAAAAGTATGAGCTAAAGGCCCTAGTGAAGATAGTCAAACTTTGGCAGAACAGGATGCAAACCTGTAACCCTAGACTAGTGCACAGTTTAACCTATAGCAGTGTTTCTCTTAAGGCAAGTATGTCTACCAGTGCTTGGATGCCCTCAGGACTTAAGGTGTGGAGCTCTATTTTCAGAACTGGAATTCTCCCCAGCAATCCAGAGCAAGATAATGCAAGATAATGTGATGTACAGTGTCTGATGGCTTCAAGATACAATCAGGACTATTAACTGGCAGGACACTGAGCATGCACTGGTCTAGGCTGGCTTGCAGCAGGCATCTATTTTCTAAGCAAGGGTTTTTTTTTGCAGGCAGCAATCATCAAATATTCCATTCAGAAAAGAGGGTAATCTGTCTTGCAAGCTAGGGTCAGGGCAGATTCCAATCATCACAGAGTAATCTGTTAACCAAGTAAGGGGTCATCAACATGAGAATCTATGACAAGACAAGGTACTAAGATAGCTCTTTTCAATGTATTTGCTTAGGCCTTTTTATGTACCAATGCATATATTTTGTATGTTTTACAGTTTTAAGACATTAAAATATTTTTAAAAACACATCTAGGAAACATATTTTTTGCATTACCACGAAGAACATTCAGAAATAATCAAAACGTACATTCAATTATCTTGAATTTTTTTTCACAGCAAAAAATGATTGAGGAAAAGACTATAAAATTATTATTATTATTATTATTATACAGTATTTATATAGCGCCAACGGTTTGCTCAGCACTGTACATTACAATGGGAGACAGTACACGAGACAGTACAGTAACAATAAAATTCGATATACGAGGGGTTCGAGGGCCCTGCTCCTTGGAGCTTACAATCTATTAGGGAGGGGATAGTGGTACAGGAGGAAATAGCTGTGGGGGATGGAGTAGTAAGAAGAAGAGTGGAGGAGATCAGCAATTAGCTGAGGGCGGGGTAGGCTTCCCTGAAGAGATGGGTCTTCAGGGTGCGTCTAAAGGAGAGGAGGGTAGGTGATAGTCTGATGGATTAGGGTAGGGAGTTCCAGAGGATGGGGGAAGCCCTGGAGAAGTCCTGGAGATGGGCATGGGAGGAGGAGACCAGGGAACTACAGAGTAGGAGGTCTTGTGAGGAGCGGAGAGTATGTTTAGGGTGGTATTTGGATATCAGGTCAGTGATGTAGTTTGGGGCAGTGTTATGAACAGCTTTGTACGTCAATGTTAGCATTTTGAATTTTATCCGTTGGGCAATCGGAAGCCAGTGGAGGGATTGGCAGAGGGGGGTGGCAGATACGGAGCGGTTAGTAAGGTGGATGAGTCTGGCCACAGTATTCAGGATAGACTGAAGCGGGGATAGACTATGGTGAGGTAAGCCGGTGAGGAGGGAGTTATAGTAGCCGAGTCGTGATATGATAAGGGAGTGAATGAGTTGCTTAGTAGTTTCCGAGGTTAGGAACTGACGTATTTTGGAGATGTTGCGGAGGTGGAGTCTACATGAGTTTGTCAGTGATTGGACCTGGGGTTGGAAAGACAGGTTGGAGTCTAGGATGACACCTAGTACTCTGGCTTGCGGAGTGGGACTGATGGTGGCGTTGTTGGACGAGGTGGAGAAGTCGGGGGGGGGGGGGGCACGGGCTGGGGGGAAAACTAGGAGCTCAGTTTTGGAAAGGTTTAATTTGAGGAAGTGGAGTGACATCCAATCCGATATGTCGTTCAGTAGGCTAGTGATTCGGGACTGAGGGGGGTGAGGTGAGGGGTAGAGAGATAGATTTGTATTAGAAAATAATACAAAGCTAGCATAGGTTTGGGTTTTTCTACATTGCACACTTAGCTTAGAAACTTTGTGTTCACTTCAAACCACACTACCCATCCAGATGGTGTTTCATCAGAGATCATGGGAGAGGAAACTACCAACTAGCTGGACTTGTTCACGTTTTGCGATGCATTAACACAAGTTCATTAGCGTAACAAGTTAGTCTATGTTAATGCATGCTGCTCCTTTGACCTGAATATGTGAAAAAAAATAGACATGCACTGTTTTTTTTTTTTTTTTTTTTTTTTTTTTACGGAGAGAATTTCAATGCACAAATGGTGGTGCTGTGCTGCCTAGGATTATTGGGGTGCACTGCACTTTGTGTAACATGTTGCCAAGCATTGGGGTAACCAACAAAGCAATACTGTGAATTGGCCCTCTTGTGAAGTAAACCTGTTAATTTTTATAAACACTTTTAGAGAGAAAGAGGATCTTAAAAGGGGCTGCCTTTTGTCACAACAGGAAAAAAATTAACATATTTTAAGTGTGTTAATTTATTTTCATGGTCCATAACTTAAAAAAAATGTAAAAAACACTGGAGGCCTTTCAGGAAATTGGCCACTATTCTAGCAGTAGTTTGTTGTTTCTAGTTACATTCTGCAGGATGATAAAAGTAAATGTTAGTGTGTAAACTCACCAATGCAGCTTCTTCCAGAGGAATCTGATTCATAGCCACTGTTGCAATTACAACGGAAACCTCCACGCAGGTTTTCACAAATGCCATTGGAACAGATGTCAGGGTCTAAAGCACATTCATTGATGTCTACAACCAGAAAGTGATATTACATTCATTCCATTTTTAAGTTATCTATTGATAAGTCACCACAATTCAGAAGAACAAGATTTAAATCAACATAAATAGAACCAGATCACTGGTTGTGTGATGGTAAAATATGTGTCACAGGGTTGTAAGGAAAGGTACAATGACATTGTGTAAAGATATTTTCACTTATAAAATAAGTTACCTCTTCCATCCACAGTGATGCCAATTCCACTGCTGCATAACCCTTGAAATTCGGCTATATTTTAAAACAAGTGAAAAGATTTAATACACCTGTGAATACTAACCTGCAATAAGCACTAATTTTTTTATTTGCCAGTCACACATCTTTATAATATTATTATTGTAATATAAAGTTACATCAAGCTTGCGCATTCATAAAAACAAAAAAAGGACATTCACCTGCCTACACTTGCCTGCATTTGCAGCCATTTGCCCTGTAGATTTTTTTTTTTAATATAATACAATACCTTGTTGGCAGCAGGGTTAAATGTGAATATTCTATAATGCACATTTGATGGTTTGCAAATATGTATGGTTGATGAGGGTGCAGGTGAAAGCAATGCATTCTCCATCTATAAAAATCAATTCATTAAGCAGGAAATGTCAAAAACTGGACTGGGTCTAGTGGCATTTATTGAACAAAATATTATGGAGACTCAGAACAAAGAAAAATGTAATGAGAATGTTGGGGCAATTAATGTGTTTAATGGAGAAGTGAATGTGCAACAAATGATTAGTGAACCAATATTTGGCAATACAATAAATTTGGCCCTTAATGATAAGAATTTTATTCATAGATTGGATATTTATGCATTGATGTTAATGGTGTTAAGTTAGCTCATGGGTGCTCAACCTGTGTGCATCCAGCTGTTCCGGAACTACAAGTTATTATTATAATGGATTTATATAGCGCCAACAGTTGAGATTGAGTTTTAAGAAGTGGTGTGACATCCAGTCTGATATGTCTGTTAGTAAATCAGTGATATGTGAAACTGATGGGGTGAGCTGAGGAGAAGAGAGATAGATTTGTGTGTCATCAGCATAGAAATGGTATTGGAAACCATTGGGAAGCTATCAGCTGACCCAAGGAAGAAGTGCAGATTGAGAATAGGAGAGGTCCAAGGACAGAACCTTGGGGGAAGCCAACAGTAAGAGGAGAAGGAGGAAGTCGAGTTGTAAGTGACACTGAAAGTGCAGTGAGATAGGCAAGATTCGAACCAACAGAGCACAGTCACGGAGACCAAGTAAATAGAGTTTTTTGAGGAGGAAGATATGAGTTAAAGAATGAAGGATAGAGTTAGAGGGTGACCATAGTATTTGCAAGGGAACAGGGTCCAGGGGGCAGGTGGTTAGGTGGGCTTTAGAAAAAAGGTTTACAACCTCCTCTATAGTAGATGGGTTAAACAAGGGAAGTATAGACTGTGCAGCTGGACAAGGAGTGTAGGGTGAGGGAGATATCTGTACAGTTGTGATCTCATCACAAATTGTTTCAATCTTATTTTTGAAGTAACTAGCAATCTCCTTGGCACTAAGTGAGTTAGTGGGTGGAGGTAAAGAAGGATGAAATAAAGAATTAAAGGTAGAAATTAGTTGATGGGGATTGATGAGAGGGTGTTAATGAGAGTGATAAAATAGGTCTCTTTGGCAGTGTGGAGACAAGAATTGTATTTTTGAAGGGCAGATTTATATTGGTCAAAGTCTTGCTGGGTCTTAGTCTTAGAGCACAGCTACGTTTTTTGAGGCATCTGGTATGGTCTGTTTGCCAGAGCTGTAGCGGTCCAGCCTAATTCTGTGTGTAGTGAGGGGGGCCAATGTGTCCACGGTGGATGACAGTGAACTGCTGTATACAGAAGTGGCCAGGATGCGGCAGGACAGCGCTGAGATTTTGTCATAGAAACAATCTGTTGCTGGAAAAAAAAGAGAAGAGTTAAGATAATGAAGGTTTCTACGGATAACTGTTTGGTAGTTGGAAGATGAGAAGGAAGTCAAAGAGAGAGAGAAAAGCTAATAAGGGAATGATCAGAGAGAGGAAAAGGAAAGTTAGTGAGGTTGCAAGGAGTGCATAGGTCCCATCATGCCTCTGCCTTTGGGAGTCATGCTTGTTACTGTCAGTCTTGCAATACTCATGGAACTTGTAGTCTCCCAACAGCTCAAGGGCCACAGGTTGAGGACCCATGAGTTAGCTACTCAGGATGCAGGATCTATGAGATGTCAGGTACTTGTTGCTGTTCAAAGAAAGCCACTAGAAAGAAGCCTGAAAGGGAATTTGCCAGGGTAGACATAAGAAAGCTGTCATTACTGACCATTTTTGAAGGTGTGAATCTCAGGAATGTCATTCTTGTCTTTTCCCTCTCTATTTGGTAAGTCAATAACTCAGACCTAAGCCATGTAGCAAAGATAAAGATGACTACCCTGTTAATAACACCTTTAAAACCAAGTTGTTAATGGCAGCTTTCTCTACCAAGAAAAAATAATTAATCTCCAAAAAAAAAAACAAAAAAAACCTGAGATTGTATAAATTATGTAAATGTCATGGGTGTTGAGGTTGATTGCTCAAATGTGTTACAATGAAAAAATAATGGCAAAAAAATCCAGCTCCACCAACTGATTTTATTGGTAATATTTTGTTCTACCTCATGATTTGATTTTTTTGAAAATGTATACAATTTTGTAAGATGAAAGAACACTGCAGATATTGTGTTACGTATCTATGGATAGATACATAGTTCTAACTGGTTTAGGAGTAGCCTAACCTACTTTCTTCTGAACTTTTTATTGCCCACCCAAGTGGGAAATCAGACTGTTGGTAATTACATGTTTCCATCTGTCTATAATATACTCACTATCAATCTCTTTTACCCAATGGGTAAGAAATCGCTTAAAACAGCTGAGGCCAGGCTATGGACATTAAAATACTGTAGGTACATATTGTTAACGAAAAAGTAAATACACTTTAAAACAATCCCTATCTCTTTCTGATTACTAAAGTAGTAAGAGAAAAAATAGCTGAGATTGCACATCAGTGATTCTATTGTAAACTTGAGGATAAATTGCTTCACAGTGCCTGCAGCTACATAGATCAACCAGGACTTTCTTTAAAGCTCCACAAAGCTTATTTGTTGCTTGTTTAAAAATATATAAATATTTGAATTTGTATTATCTGGTCACAGTTCTGCTTAAAATGCTAATACATGCAGATGGCGGTGCACAATTTTAGTTGGGGCAGTGTTCCACCTCACCTCATATGCTCACTAACCATGACCACAATGGCCTGTTGCAGTTCAGGTTGGCACAATGAAAAGCCATACTGCCATGTGTCTCTCAGCTTAGTACAATCTTCCAGACACTGATTGATTGCAACTCAGCAGACATTGAAACCACCCAGCAAGTGCCCCCTGTCAGCACCTGTAACTATGAACCCTAAAATATATTACACTTTACTTGCTGTCAGAGAGAAGGCACACTTAAAATAAGCAATGTTTAATAAATTAAATCAATTAATTAACTTTGTAGAAGCACAGAAAATGCTTACCAGAGTTTCTTGGTGGGCACGGATGGCATGGTTCTCCAAATCCATAGTCTGGATTGGCACAGCAACACTCAGATTTAGTCACAGCTCCAGGAAATGGGCGGACACAAAGTCCTTTCTTGATGGCTCCATAGCAAGTGCTACGCATGTGTGTGTCTAAAGAAGCAGTAAAAAAGCATCTGTTAGAACTCAACATATTAAAACCATTCCACAAAAAAACCATCCAAGGGCATATATCCTTACCATTACAGCAACCAGAATAAAGAAGCATGAGGTAAAAAAAGAAGAAAATACACATCTGTAATGTTGTGTGATGTACACAAAAATATTGCAAAAGTATAAAGAAATTGTTTTTCACATATCCAGGTTTATTTATATCAATTACATTGTTGTTGATTTTGCTGCTATTCATATAAAATGGAATCAAGGTGCAGATCATAAACAATATATCACAAAACGGCTATACTTACCCACACAAACACGACCATCTACTCCAACAGCCAACCCTGGTGGACATTCACAGCGGAAAGACCCTTCGGTATTTATACAGTGGCCATTCATACAAACGCCTGGAGTAAGACACTCATCAACATCTGTGGAATTAAATGTAAAATAGTTTATTACAAAAGGTAGACAAATCAGAAGGCCAGCAATCAGCTACAATAAACACAACTATAGGATAAAATACATACCAGTACAGTAACGACCACTGGCTGCGAGCACAAATCCTGGTTTGCAGATGCACTTAAAGCTGCCATCTTCATTTATACACATTCCATTTAAACACATATTTGTAGTAGCACATTCATCATGATCTGAAAATACATAATATAGCATGGTATTAAGCATTTATTTTAAGTTATGGCAGTTGCAATCACCAGAGGTAAGGAATGTACTAATGTTAAAATAGTTAACAATTAGATATAAAAATAGCCATTCCTGAACTTTGCAACATTTGTAACATTTCATATATTTGTGTATCAATTTGAAATCAACTGCTGATAAGCCCATCTGGCATTGGCTACCCAAAATATACAACATTGTTAAATAAAAATTGAAAGAATTTTCAATTATTGGGGCACAAGTGTAAATGTGTTAGCAATGGTTTCCGAGTGCTGGAACCAGCTACACAATTGAAATATTTGAAAACTGTAAGAAAAGTAGTCTTTCTTATTTATAATCTATATCCTGGTTTAATAATTCAAATGAAACAATGAATGTTATTGGCTGCTATGGGCAACAGGTCTGCTGCAAGTTTCATGAACTACATCAATGACAGTATAATCAGGCAATACCCAACTCCAAGCAGATGGCAATATATCATTAGCAAGAGGTGGTAAGTACTGCTGCTAAGCTAATGCATTTTGTATGCATACAAAAAACAACTTGTGTTTGGGAAACACAAATGAAAAATAACAATATTGCCACCATCTAAGGCAATTTCCCTTAAAATAATAAGCAGATGCATTAACATGAGGCAATAATAATTTCATGTTGAGCTGCAAATTATAATTCAAGTTAAATTACTAAGATACACATATTATTTTAATGATTAGTTAGGGAACTAACTGACACATTTATACACAAATTTCTTTTTAAAATAAAAAAAGTCTATATCATCAAATATATACAATATGATACTAATATTCTTATCATCATTCTCAGTATGGTGCTCCAGGCAGTTGTTGCTGGGGGCAGTACAAACCTTTGATTTGCAGCTGTCATGGTGCTGCCATGTGAAAAGCTATGACATCATTTACGGGCTTGACAGTTCAGTTGAGAGCTGGTATAAGCTCACTTGTAATTGTAAGTTATCATTCATGGCATGCCTTACATTTAACAATTTTGGAAAACAGTTGAATCAGTTGCTTTAATTCCACTTTAACTGTCTGGGATAGTTATATTTGTATTAGTCTCCATGATCTGTGATACAGTTGGCAGAGACATTTCCATTATCAGAGTTAAAATTTTGATGAACATGCTTCTCAAATGAGTAAACATTATTGAAGCTTTGTGAAGGAACTGGACAAAACTCCACTTATGACTTTGATATGATCTGTCTACACAAGGTTTAAAACATCATTAAGAGTTGCCTTAATAGCCGCCATGATGTCTAGAGATAATGACCAATATCTAGTAAATTCATTTAAAATTACTTTAATTTAAATGACTTTAATATTTAAGTAAGTAGCTCCTTGTACAAACAATTTCCATAGCTTCAGCCAAAAGTGTCAAATGTCTTTGATAACTATTATAACCCAGACATTCATGTTATTCTAGGACCAAATATTGCACAGACATTTAGCAATTGATAAAGACAGTTTCAGGCTGTACATGGTGACTCCTCAACAATTATTCGCTACGTGACATAGAAAACTATGTAAACAGCTGCTTCTAACACAGCACAGATGTCTGATTGACTGCAGGAACCAGGATGCATATTTTCTTCAACTGGTAAGTTTCTCTGTTGTGTGGAGGGTTAACTTTTTTTTAGTAATTATGAATTACAAACTGTACAGCAAATACTATGTCCAAAACTTTTACCTGCACAGTTCTTTCCATCAGCGGTTAGCTCAAAACCAGCATTGCAGATACACTGAAAGCTCCCCTCTGTATTAACACATCTTCCATTTTTGCAGAGGATACCATTTTGAATACACTCATCAATATCTAGGTTTAAAGAAAAACACACTGTTCAGCTCTGCAAAATTGGTGGAAAGCCTAGCAAAATCATATTCACACTATGAATTCAATAGAAATAATTCGTATTTTAAAAATACGGATTCATGCAAAGAGAAAGGATGGTTTTGTCAGTTATCAAAAGTCATGATATATCAGCTTACAATCATTGCCTTATTTATTTAGATGTCATGTGTTTTGGATCATAAAATGTAAACTACCATTAAAACATACAGTATAATGCAAATAACTATAACTTGTTTGAGATAAACCAGCCTGTTTGACCAAACCCAACCTAGGGGCTGTTAGGGGTTTTTGTTTAGTTTTGCTGCATTTATATGAATATCCAAAAAAATATGAAACATTAAAAGTACATTGATGGAAGAGAATAGTCTTTGCACACATTGTACTAGGTAGATTGCAAATGCTTTATGAGATGAGCTATGGTGGTGAAGTAGATCTCAATTCAGTGTTAGCCTCCTTTCTCCTTGTGACCAGTTAAAATAAGTGTAAATTTTGTGCGCCTGTGTTTCTTTTAGTGAAACTTCCAATACTGGCAATGGAATTGTAATTAGTCAAAAAACATCTGTCAAAAAATGTCTTGAATGGATGCTGCCATTGTCAAAGTTCCTGCCTGTATACTAGTTTCTTGGTGCTTGTGTAAATGGGTAAATGCAGCCTGCGTATGAATTCCTTCTAACCTACATTTGGCTTTTTTCTTACCTTTATGTTACTTTCATATACATTGCATTAAGGAGTCCCTGCCAGACTAAAACTTAATCATCTGAAAGTTCCCTGCAATAAAAGAAGTATTACACTTCCTTCTCCTGCAGCTAGTGTCTTCTGTTTCCCTCCATTCCAGTTCTACTTAAAATACATTAAGTGCTAGAAAGATGTTTTAATGTTCTAAGAGCAGTATCTTTTATATAGGCTGACCTTCATGATAAAAATAGACTGAAATAACTGTAGTAGAAATACTAATACTGTAGTAAAAAAAATAGTCAAAAGTGATCAATAAATGGTATGTTATATTTCATGTCACCCTGACCAAAATGACATTTAGCAGATCTTTAGTGTAATATCTACTAATGGTAAAAACTCCATGAATAGTTTATCATTCTCTAGCATACTTAAAAATCTAAGATTCAGAAAGCTATCCCACATGCCTCAAACCTATTTATTATTTACAGGTGAAGAAAACAACTATTTTTATACTTAATTGGTAGCAAATGTTGCTTTCTGCAGGTAGAAAGCCTTCCCTGATGGTGATTTCATGTATGCTATTTAGCCAGTAAAGGTTAGATACATGCACGCCAGAAATTTTCATTTGGTTTCGTATGCATTCGTTCATTGAACAATTTTCCTTCATATATTAGTTGGTCTGGGTGGATTCGAAAAATGTTGCAGTTTTTCTTGGAGATTGCCATATATTTGATATTACTATCGAATCGGATGGATTTGATTCGGAATCTAGTCCAACCCACCAAGAGAAATGGCATGAGCTGATTAGACAATCTCGACTGGCATCATGTGCATCCAAATTAACTAATGGAACAAAATTTGGATCCATTTATTGGTCGCATCTGAATTATTGAACAAGTTCAAAAATTAAATTAATTTCCACATGGGCCTGAACTACTATTGGATCATTTGAGGTAATTTGAATTAAATTAATGCATTTGTTAATTTCGTTATAAATTTTTTCTGATTTGCTAACATTCGTTACTATGTCCATTCAGAGATTCTTATACATACGAATTTCTAAAAATTAAATTGTAATGAAACAAAACGCACATGTCTAGTAAAGGTTTCCTCTCCATGAGTGCAATAATTGTGTCAGAATCATAACATTTCCCATTAGTTCCCTCACTGGGTGCACAGAGAAACAAAGACATGTAAAGAAAAACTATAATAATTTGGATGAATTTGATATATATATATATATATATATATATATATATATATATATGAGAAAAATGACAAAGATTCTCAAAGCACTATAGGTTTGCTAAAGAGAGTGTACAAGTGCTTTGCCTTTACGCAGACTGCTTCCACATGAAACCTCTGGGGCCATCTGGTAAGGGAGGAGTCACTGTGTTGACTTAATCAACTGAGTTTTTAAATTTCAGTTTGAGCTATTGTGCTCTGTAAAAACAACAAAGGGGATGTGAAAAAGTTCCTGGGGCTCCACCTGCTGGCTACCTTTGAATATATATATATAAAATGAATATGCAATATTTATATTTAACGTGACTAAAAATGCTAACAAGAAAACTATATTATTATGCCCTGATTATAAAAAATAAATAAATCAGGAAAATATTTATAAAACTACTATACATTCCCTTTAATTACCAAGGAAAGAAAATAAAAAAGTAAAATGTTTTGTAATCAGTAGTGACCAGTCTAATGGCATCTCTCTAATTTTAAATTATACATTGTAAGACACTTCCTGAATTCAGTGAAAGGGAAAGTCATAATACTGTACTTACCAATGCATGCCTGCTTGGTAGGAGTCCTCTGAAAACCAGAATGGCACTTACAATAATAGGATCCAGGTGTGTTAACACAATCTCCATTGGTACATGGGTTTGATGTGCACTCATCAACATCTGTTTGTAGTAACAAAAGTCATAACATGCAGTTGGCTCAAAGTGTATAATTTGAGAACAAGTCATTACTGGCCACACTATGTTTCCAGTAAATGTTTCTCTTACTAATTTTGCTAGGCTTTTAATTTTTTAAACTGTTCAAACAGGTCAAAGTAAAACAACTTTAACCACTATCTGTGAATGTGGTAACATGTATTGCACATTCCAGGGTACTTGGATAATAAAATAATTAATTCCAGGGTACTGGGCTAATACAATAATTGTACTTTCAGGACAGCTGTTAGGCAATTCATGTGTACATTTGCAGGCCTAATAGACCTATTAATTACATCCTATTAGCACCAATACTAACGGAAACTAGGAGGGGGTCTTGAAAACAATGCTTACATGAGCTCAATCCAGAACATTTGTACATTTATCCCTTCAGCAAGCATACAATGTCCTTGTTGCAATAGCACGTATAATGTGAATCAATACTTTGATGATTATTGTAGTGGTTTTAAAAAGTCTATTTAGACACAATTTGATTTTCTCCTGAATCTGCCATTTAGCAAAAATGAATTTTGGCAAAAAAAAGTAAATAACTCTAACATAACCTTGGCTGCACAAATTGTGGCTTAGCTGCTCACTATGTCACTATAATGATTTTGACATTCCTACTGGTCATTGCTTACAGATTACACAGCTGCTAAAAACTTATACAGCATTTTTACTATAAGTATATCTGTAATATTTTAAAGTGATACTTTAGGTTGGCAGTTCAGTAAATTTTCCTTTAACATAACCAACTACAAGGGAGATTTTATATGAATGAATTAGCACTACATTGACTGATTGTACCTTACTGCAGGTATTTGCTGGCCTTAAACATGTAACAATGTTGGATACAGTTAGTAGTAAAGATCCACTGCTGCAATGATATGTTACTGAGAAAAATCTAGTTGAGTAGGTTCCATCCCCTAAAAAGTCCAGCATAGTGTATACATACCATTACATTCGGTGTGAGTATCTTGCTTATATCCCATGTTGCATTCACATCGGTAACTGTTAAGGTTAGGTATACACCGTCCATTTAAGCAAAGATTTGGGTATTGCTTGCATATATCTATTGTCTGATTTAATGTTGCTATGATAAAAATAGAAAACATTTAATTACCAATTTGTTAATAGCATATATTACATGAAAGTGAACATGACATTAATTATATTATTATCATTTTATAATACTGTCTGTGTCATAAGCGCTAGTGTTATCAGTATTAATTGTTATATTCAGTGAAACCTATGTCAGATATATAAACCTCAAATTATAAAATAAAGAAGAGCTACAAAGGTGAATGAAACTTGTAATGAGAGAATATGAAGGCTACCATTGCTGAAATATTAGTTTCCTGGCTGTCATGTTGATTCAAAGGTTTCAGCACTTTGCTATTCACCTACCTGGAAAAAGTATGCAGTTTATGAGTTTGATTTCACATGAAACCATGGGGCCAATTGAGGAAACTGCCTTGGATAGAACTACTAAGGAAAACATGGATAGGTAGGGGTGCTGCTGCACTGAGGCCAGAGTATCCATATCCGACATTTCATCCTTAGTGTACCTTAGTAGCACTGACCCTGCTAAAATTACAGGCTCAGCGATACTGAGCTGCCTGCCTGGTCAATGTGCCTGTCACACAGGCAGGTGCAGCACCCAAGCCTTAACAGTGATTAGGAACTTGTTGAAAGTGAAGGTTCAAAGTTACTGAGCACAGCCTTGCAGGCCACTGCAGGTGCATCAGGAAAACTCTGCATGGGCAGAAAACTCTGCTGAGTGATGCTAAGCCTGCATTTTAATGTGCTTGGCATCACTGAGCTGACTGCCTGTGCGTATGCGTGCGGGCGCATGCAGGCAGCATTACTGCTCGAGACAACCGTCTTTGGCATGGACTGGGAGCAAAAATGTCAGCCTTAGGAAACATTTGCCCCCACCTTGGTCCTGGTTCCAGGTGAGTGTCTTAAAATACTGATGTCAGACAGCCAGGCAGCTAGCATTTTCAGAAAGAAGTCAGCTATGGCAGCCACAGGATTTCTCACAGTACAGATTTTCATCAAAACTCACCCCTCCTGTAACTCAAAACGGCACATGTTAGCATTATCAAATCACATTATTATTTGAAGTAAAATGTACCTCTTGTTTCCTATAAATATTAAAAAATGTTTTTCCCCAGCATTAACCTCTTGTCTCTGGTAACCAAGTATTATAGATTCTATTGTTCTAAGTCAGCAGTTTGGTAAAAGAATAAAAAAAGCAGCTGTTATGTACACAGACAAATACAAACTATAATACAAAATGGTTTTTAACCTAATAGCTCAGGCTGATTCATGTAACAGAATTTTATTCATGGATACATAAGTAAGCTGAACTCTCTTGGTGTCTTAATAATAAATAACTTAATAATAACTAGAAATGGGCCAGGGAAGGTGTATGTAAAGACAGATTAAGGTTAATTTGTTAAGTGATAGTCAGTACTGCAATCAGTATTTTTATATTTGAAAAGAGTTAACCTGCTGTCTATTGGTCCTGTTGAAAATTAAGTATCAACTATGCCAAGCTTCTTATAGATTAAAAATGTTATACAGCACAGTTATACATGATGACAAATAAATGAAGATCTATACAGGTGTGAGAATTTTGACTCTCTTTACACTTGCTTGTTAAGGAATGTAATTAGCAACTCTTAAACTTAAGGAATGTGATTAGTAACTCTTTTAAATAATATACTTCTTAGTATATTACTACTAATCTTAGATTACTACTAATCATCACCAGAATACCAATCATCATTATCAGAAGTAAGAGTCAAGCAGCCTTTGCTGTAAACATTTAAAATTGTTGCCACATCTTACACAGTTGGCTCACTGCACTCCCTGTGCATACATTTCTGAAACAGTCAGTGTTATTACTTAGAATTGCATAATTAGCTATCATACACATGAAGATCAGTGATACTAAGAAATAGTAAAACATTATGAACATTACATGATAATGATTTCTTTGTTCACAATCTATACAAATGTCATACATAAGAGAAATTCCATTTCCCCATATAATTTTAATCTTAGCTAGAATGACCACACAGAATTTAATTCATATTTAGAACCAAACACTGACTCACCAACACCTCCTCCTGCTCCTGTTCCAGTACCAGTTCCATCAATTCCTGTTCCACCTACAATGGGAGGAAAACCATTTCCACCTGGTAAAGGAGGAATATATCCATTTCCACCAGGTCCAAACACATTTGGTCCAAATACTCCTGGGCCATCTATTCTAGGACCCCCAAATGGAACCCCATCAATGCAAAGCCTTCGATATTCATCTGCAAAAAAAATGACTGGCTGTTTTAGTGTTTTAAAAGCAAGGAAGGTTCAACAAAAAAAAACATTTCATAAAAACGCTTTACTGGCAAATGCATGGCTCTGGTCTCTTAACATTTCTAAAGATCAATTATTTTGAAATCTATTCTGGGGCAGTTTGACCAAAAACAGTCAAGTCCAGCCAATCTATTTGGATTCCATTTGGATTGAGCACAGGTAGTCTGTGGGGAGATATATGTTGCAGAACCCATCACTACCTATACTTTACTAATGGAGACATTTTCCCATTATGACAAAACACGCTTACAAGCAGACTTCCTAAATAAATATAGCTTGCATTTGTTTCCCGCTGGTTTACTAGGCACAAGAAATTAGTAAAATTATTTATTGAAGATTGAAGAAACCCAAGAAGAAAGAAAAAAATTGCTTTAGAATTTGTTACTAACCTGAACCTCTGACTGGACACAGTTCAGGAATGGATCCCAAAGCCCAACAACGACCAGCTTCACAGCAGCATTGCATTTTGGTAAATCTGCCTGACAGCTCCTGTGCACAATGTCCATTTACAAGACTGGAGAAGCATATACCCGACCTCTGATCTATGCAAAAACAATAAACAACAAATACTAAATTACAAATCACACATCTTCACATGGATCACTCATTCTAATGTTCCATCAGTTTAATTTTTATCAGTTATGAACGGACCAGTTCAAGATTGGGATTCTAGGTACATTACCTTGGTTTACCTATTGATTATCATGGAAGGATGTGAGTGACTGGGGTACAAATTATCATAATTCAACACAGATCAGTCCAGTTTACATGGTTGTACTTGTGGGTAGTAATTAGTAGCAAATATGGAACTCTTTGAGGTAGTAAGCACCTTATACTTATATCCTGTAGTGAGGCCAGGAATATGCCCCTTTAATGGAAGCTGAAATATTCAAACTGCTTGCATTTGCACAGATAACACCTTCTCAAAGGGGCTGATTTTCTAAAGGCAAATAGCCTGTTCACTTTGCAAGGCAAGTTATAGTTAGCAAGGGAATTTTCCCCAGAGTTTAGTGAATGTGGTAAAGTTTCACTTTGCAAAGAATACCCGATTACAAAAAGGAAAAAAAAACAACAGCATTTTTGCTTGCTTGTGGTCACACTATGGAAGTCAGCCCAGCTTAACCTCATCCACTAAACTTTGGAAATTCCCTTGTAAAGTGAACAGCCTTTAGTAAATCAACTCAAAAATGTACGTAAAGCCAAATTGTATTTTGGATAGAGTGGTGAGGGGGTAAGAATTTCTGACACTTTACTGACACTGAAAGTGAAGGAAAATCCAAAACTCTCATCTTTTACCAAAACAGGAACATAGCTGAAATCTTCCCATAAGGATGCTTATTTGGGTACCAGCTGTCTAAACAATGATATTTCTATAGAAAGTTTTTCTTTCACTTCCTATGTGTTTCTAAGGACAGGAAGAAAATGTTCGGCTCCCCAATCAGAAAATGATAGGATGAAAATATTGACAGGAATTTTAAGCATCACCTAAAACAATTTTGATTTTAGACATACTTTAAGCTCTATAAAATTTTGTTATGACAGTTATAGATATTTAATACCTTTTAGGTTTCTATAAAAAGTTTTTGTTATACTTTGCTGTCAAATCATTATGCTAGCATAATATTTAAGAATTATGCTATTAGAATAATAATATTTTGTGGGGCCCTTGGTGGCCTAGTGGTCAGAAGTGAAACATTGTAGTGCTGCTGTGTTTGGTTTACATAAGGACGCCATCTGCATAGGGTTTAATGCCTGTAATGGATTATTCTTTTCAATTAAAAAGATGCCAGTAAGTGAATTTACTTCTACTCAAACTGATGATGAGATATGAGTGACAAAAGGCTAAACTAGCAAGGTCCTCAGGGCAGGGATACATGTGAATGGTTTCATGTTTCCTGTATTATGCTATGGACTAACTATCTGCTATATAAATTACAGTATTTTCTGGTGTATAAGACTACTTTTTTATACTTAAAAATATACCCCAAAAATTGGGGGTCGTCTTATACGCGGGGTATAAAATGTGAACCTTGAGTTTGTTTGGGTCAAGCTGGCTGGATGTGTGGTAATACTGTACATACAGTATACCGTGCTTAGCCAAACTGGCTCAAAACAAATGTCACTATGACAGATTAATCTGCCAGCCCACTGGATGTGCGGTATATACAGTATACTGCGCTGAGCCAAGCTGTTTCAAAACGTACCGGTACGTCCCTACTGTAATCAGCCCGCTGGATGCGTGTATGTACGGTAGCTGTGGCTACATACAGTATACACTGGGCCAATCACGGCGAGTGATGTATTCTATTAATGAATACAAAGTCTGCTCGGATTGGCTGAGTCAGAGAGGTGGGCTGATGATGTCACAACCTCAGCCAATCCGAGCAGGCTTTGTGTTCATTAGTAGAATACATCGCTCGCTGTGATTGGCCCAGCGTATACTGTATGTAGCCTCAGCTACTGTACATACACACATCCAGCGGTCTGATTACCGTAGGGACGTACTGGTACGTTTTGAAACAGCTTGGCTCAGTATACTGTATATACCACAGTGGTATATACTCAGTATACTGTATATACCACACATCCAGTGGGATGACAGATTAATCTGTCATAGGGACATTTGTTTTGAGCCAGCTTGGCTCAGCGCGGTATACTGTATGAACAATACTGCACTTCCAGCGTGCTGTATATATACTGTATACTGTATGTAGCCAAAGCTACCGTATTA